TTGAATCAAGACAAAAGGGCGTAACGAAACGAATACATCCAATTGCGTTGGGCCTACCGCGATTATGTTATGTGTGCAAAGGGCGTATGCTCTCACATACGTACTTTTCTCATGCGTGAATGGCAAAATTGCTGGTGCCAAAGCATGCACGACCACAGATACGCCCACTGTATTAGGGTTAGTGCGACTCTAACGCAAAGTCAAAGCACACCAATTCACTCATACACATTTTTAAAACATGTTTCGAATTTCCAGAAACGATACGAATTGTACAATGTGGCTTTGCACGTCTTTTGTAGACCACCATTTCAATCATAACGCTAATTTCATGCACGAATGTTTCGACAGGTAAATACTGACCGCGTCAACGAAGCATTTTTTCAATTCGTGCGTATCCTTTGAGCGCGGGTTACATGTGACTTTGAAAATTTAACATCATTAAAAACATCTAACATCCACACAAACAGTCCACGGTAATGACGGGGGAAGCTCATGAATCCAACCATGCAACGGACGCTTCTGTAACTCAATTCGAAACCGAATTGTGCACGGACAATCAGCCCTCCTGAACACAAGCAAAATGCTTCATACGGATGTTGTTCGTACGGATGTTGATTCCAATGGCATACATTTTGCCATTAGACGGCATTACGCATACACAGTCGGAGAGCAGGAGGTGAGGTACGTACATCCTTGAGTTTGCACTTGTAGGCAGCCGCTGGCATGGCCTTCATTTTGTTGGGCAGGAAGCGTATCTCGGTGACAAGCTTTTCGTCCCGGTTACCGTAGTCCATATACTGCACGCCGATCATCGAGGACGCATCTCCTCTGCCGGCAACCAAAGGTCACTCGCGTGAGGGTCAGCGCTGGAGGCCAGGCACTCGGGCCATGCCACCCACGGCCTAACACACTCGCCAACGCTGCTCACTCGAATATTCGTGACGTCGCCTGATAACACACATGCGTTCCACACACGTTCCATACACGACTGGCATGTCTGCACCGTCACGACTATCTGCAGAGTAACTGATGCCCCTAAATGTTCTCATACAGACGGCTGACCACGCCGAAACTGTGCGAAGCGCCGTGTAACTCAGTGCTTGAGTCAGTTCTGACAAATGTTGACTTTGGTTTGTGAGGGAAGTCGCCGCTGTTTCGCTAAATCATCCACGCGTTTCGGAGATGAGCATCTTTCAACACATCAACGTAAAATTGTGTTCACTGTAACGCCCATTCGTGTGGGTACCGCCATAAACCTCGCCGCGTACCGGACACTGGACGTTCGCGGTAGGCACAGATGGAGCAAGTTGAGGATGTGTGCCATGCACAGCTGCCAGGACAACTATGTGTCACTAGTAAAGCTAAAAAACCAAACCATTTTCCCGAGGGTCCGTGTACCGGCTGTGGCTCCTGCTCCAGCTGGTGACGATAAGGCGCCGACTGACCTGTCGGTGACCTCGGTGACCCTGGCCCGGTACCAGTCCCCCTTCCAGGCTGACATCACCAGCTCACCGATCCTGGGGAGCCGACAGAGCCGGGCGGGGCCGCCTTGGGCAAGCGCTCTGAAACAAGAGGCGCCGCTGCCAGCCTCAGTACGGACGCCGCACGCTACGCGCACACACGTCAGAGGGTTGAGATGGGCCAGTCCCAGGAAGAACATTGCGCAACTTGAGGTGGCCTAGGCCTCACCATATCGCCAGAGGCAGTCCAACGCCTGGACATTGTAAATGGCAGTTACTCCTGAAATATGCTCATATTTTGAGCTAGCTGATTTGAAGCAATCACCCACCTTTCATATTGCATGCCACAGAGAGTCATTGCATCGAAGCCAGTAAGGGCAGTGACCACCAACTGATACAATAACAGACACCGCGGAGCCGGCGCCTCAGAGGCCATGGTCGGAGCTGGCTGGTGACTGACCTCAGCTGCTTGCTGAGCTCCGTCAGCCGGGTCTCAGCCTCCTTCAGGTACAGGTAGGTGTAGCCGGTAGCAAGGTCCCAGCAGGAGAACACCACTGGCTGTTGTACACCATCCTCCAGCAGTCTACGGCACCGGTCACATCTGGTACGGCGGCCACCTCGGGGCATGGTGGCGCCACCGGGGCACGGCGGCGCCACCGGGACACAGCGGCGCCACCGGGATACAGTGGCCACACAAGGGTAAAACGGCCGCACCGGGGTACGGCGGCCATACCGAGATACGGCGGCGCCACCAGGATACATCGGAAACATGGCCACACTGGGACACCACGGAGACATGACGAGAGTGGGTTCGGCAAAGACACGAACAAAGTGGGATACGGCAGCGACAGGTCAACAATGGGATGCAGCGAGGTCACCGCTACATCGGGATGTGGCGTAAGCACGGCCACACCAAGATACGAGAGGGACATTGCAAGACTGTGACGGATCGAAAACACGGCCACATCGCTGTGGCGGAGGCATATAAACACCGCGATGCAGTGGCAACACGGGACACAATGGCGTATACTGGAGACATGAAACACGGACAGGGCGGAGCCGACGCACATTGGGATGCAATGGCAGCAGTGACACTCACAACAAAATATCTTAAAACGCGACATGAAGGCGAACTAATTACACCACTTATTTGCAGTGATCTGACGTGGCTCTCTTCGTCATCAAAACCTGATTAACACTGTTAAATCCTTACGGTTGTGGCGTTTCTTTGGCCGGCTCCGGCGTGCCTCTCTTCTTCATCAAATGCCGATTAATAATGCTGGAGACCTCATCATTGGACTTCTTTGAGACACTCATCTTCACTCCATGTGACTGCACAGACAAATCGTCTGCTGGCTTTTGACAGCCCACTTCTGGCGTCCTGAGACAACTAAAAATGAAAATCATGAGCTCGTGTTTCACCCACAACGCCACCAGCCGCAAACCAATAATCACGGATCTGGTCATTTATAGTGAAGTAACCAACTTCACCAACACCACAGCCTGCAACCCACGTGACGGATTGAGCGACTGCCCCCAGTGCACCGCGACAGCCGGCCTGAGTGGCGGCGGGTCGCACCTCAGCTTCAGCTGGGCCGGCGTGTCGTTGAAGGGGGTGCTCCGTCCGCCGTCCGCTGCCGTGTGGAACGACGCTATCGACTCGAACGTGGTGTTGGCGTCGGCGGACGGGTGACGGGCCAGCTCCGGCTCCGGCGTGGCAGGAGACGGGTACAGGGCGGGCAGCAGCTGCTCGGCCGAGTCCGCCCACTCGGACAGCAGTTGCAGCAGCTGGTAGTTGTCCTGGCCCAGCTGCTTTAGCATGGCAGGTGATGGCATACTGCTCAGCATATGCACCTGCACAGCAAGAGGCATCAGTTTCAACCAATATCACAACCTGAGCATATTTACTGGCAATGAGGTCCATTTCTAAGTCATCTGATACAGACTGGTACAACATACATAACAGGCAATCCCTAGCACATTGGGGAAAATGCTGTGGAGAGCTGATAATAAAAAACATTACTCGTACATTTCTACAGTTGAATTGCTCATGACCGAACACCTTTACAAATTACCCTTTTCATTGTTGTAATGATGCAGTTGAATAATCTATCTTTTTCACTTTCTATCATGGAGATCTGAAGATTAAGTTTGCTGCCATTCATGGCTACTGGAATGTGCCCTGCAACAAAAAACAAATATTCACCAAAAAGGTATGGTGATAACCATAAGGCCTACCCTATAACACAATATACAACACAGCTGAAGCTCAGGCTTACAAATCAACACCTTGTGCAAGGAACCTTGGTAACAACATTATCCTGGAGCCCACACACAGAGGTGTCCTGTATTTACAGACTTCCACCTCTTGTAGAATCATTAAGTGTACAGAGTGAGTACATATATGCATGCCTAGATCAAAACAGAAGAAAAAGCACAATAAAAGCATTATCACATTTTTTCACAACTTCTGAGCAATGAGATGGGTTGCAATAGGTGATGGCTATTGGCACTGTTTGGCTTTGTCATTCTAAGGAATCATTTTTTATTAATTTGTTAAGCCTCAATTATACTATTTTTTTATTCAGCTGCTTAACACTACATCCACACACTAAATGATCACTTGTGGTTATGATGCATCATTTTACTGCAAACTAGCTGCATTGTCCTCTTTTTTATCTAAAAGTTTCATGTAACCCGGTGATTATTCACAACATGGGGTGTTGACCACTAGCAATAGTTTTGCCACCAGTGGTATCATTGCCATTGGTGCTGCCACCATGAATAGTTGCCAATAATGGTAAAATAAAGTGTTGTCGCCATCAACAATACTGAGGCACCAGAAAACTGGTATTTCTCTACCACTTTAAAAGCTAGCAGGCCACCAGCTGCATGATGCGTTGTGGTACCAGAATCAGACAAAACATCCTGTTCCATCTCCCACTGTATCCAACAGGACAGGCACGATTCTGGAGACCAACTCAGGCATTAACCCTGCAGATAAGCTTCCCCCCTCCCCCCTCCAGCGTGAGCCCCTATGATGCAGAACATACAGAACACAGCCCGCCTAAACGTGTAACGTCCGCCCCACTCATAACCCAGTTCCAGGGCCTTGGTTCATATCGCGCTTGAAAGAACCATACACCACCATCACTAGCATCACCATAACCATACACCACCATCACATCACCATCGTTAGATAGCCTTGATCACTATTAAGCAGCCAAAACAAGCAAATGACGCCTCCGCGACAAAATGCAGTGCAGATGGCAGCTGTACTTTGTTGATCGTGGGATCGTCAATTTATGATGGTGAGTAACATTCTTATTTTATACAGACAAACATTAAGCTCAATATTTTAAAAGTTTAGATGTGATCTTAATAATTCTACTTTTACACACTAGATTCAACAACATGAAAAAGCTTGAATGGGTGACAAACTATATGACGTCATCAAATGCCAAAGAAGAACAGAATTTCTAGGTTGGCCTCATTTATATGTCAAGTTGGACGCCGTATGACAAGGCTGCTCTGGTGCTTGTTCGTGAGTGCGAGGCATAGCTGAGGGGTTTGTTCGGTTGGGGCCTGTCGTTCGTTTTCCAGTTGCTTTACTTAGAGTGGCCCGGGTTCCACAAAGTCTTTGTTGTTTCTTAATTGTTTGTTGCTCCACGATGAAGAGTACAAGCTGCAGTATTGGAACGTAAGCGAATCGCAGCTGGTTCCATCGATTTTATATGCATCAATTTTGTCAACGATCCAAGGGTGTAATCACGGACCAGTCGTGAACTATGCAGCGCGGGCAGCCCAAGAAGGACGCGAAGATGAGAATCAGGGCATTCCCTATGACGATGGATGAGAGGTATGTGGAGGGAATCTGGCATATCCTGAAGAATGCCATCCAAGAGATCCAGAAGAAAAACAACAGTGGGCTGAGCTTTGAAGAGCTGTACCGCAATGCCTACACCATGGTTCTTCACAAGCATGGTGAACGTCTGTATACTGGACTGAGAGATGTGGTGACACAACACCTGGAAACCAAGGTCCGAGGTGACGTACTGAAGTCACTGAACAACAACTTTCTGGCGACACTTAACCAGGCTTGGCATGACCATAAAACATCCATGATCATGATCAGAGACATCCTGATGTACATGGACAGAGTTTATGTGCAGCAGAACAATGTTGACAATGTGTTCAACTTGGGACTCATCCTGTTCAGGGATCAGATTGTCAGATATGGTGGAATCAGAGACCACCTGAGGGACACACTTCTTGAAATGGTCATGAGAGAGAGGAGAGGGGAGGTCATTGACAAACTTGCTGTGAAGAATGCATGCAGCATGCTGATGGTTCTTGGTGTAGAAAGCAGGGCTGTATATGAGGAGGACTTTGAGAGACCCTTCCTGCAGCAGTCAGCTCAGTTCTACAGGATGGAAAGCCAAAACTTCCTGGCAGAGAACTCTGCCTCAGCTTACATCAGGAAAGTGGAGGCACGAATCAATGAAGAAGCTGAACGTGCATCCCACTATCTGGATGAATCAACTGAGGCTCACATTGTTGAGGTGGTTGAGGAAGAGCTCATCAAAAAGCACATGAAGACCATTGTTGAAATTGAGAACTCTGGGGTTGTGCACATGCTGAAGCACCAGAAAACTGATGACCTGGCATGCATGTACAAGCTCCTGTCAAGAGTACAGGATGGGCTGAAAACACTGGCTGACTGTGTGTCAGCATACCTTCGGGAACAAGGCAGAGCACTTGTGGCTGAGGATCCAGCATATGGTGGAAAAAATGCTATCACCTATGTGCAGAGCCTGCTGGATCTGAGGGATGTGTTTGATCACTTCCTGAAAAACTCATTCAACAAAGACAAGATGGTGAAACAGCGCATCGCCTCAGACTTTGAGTACTTCCTCAATCTCAACAACAAGTCCCCAGAGTACCTGTCACTCTTCATTGATGACAGGCTTAAGAAGGGTGCCAAGGGTGTCACTGAACAGGAGATTGAGGCCATCCTGGACAAGACCATGGTCATATTTCGATTCCTGCAGGAAAAGGATGTGTTTGAGCGCTACTACAAGCAGCACCTAGCCAAGAGGCTGTTGCTCAACAAGTCGGCAAGTGATGACAACGAGAAGAACATGATCTCCAAACTCCGCACCGAGTGTGGATGCCAGTTCACGTCCAAGCTGGAGGGTATGTTCAAGGACATCACTGTCTCTAACACCATCATGGAAGAGTTCAAGCAGCACGTGCTATCGGGCAACGCCCACCCGTTCGGCATGGTTGACCTGACCGTGCGCGTGCTGACGACCGGCTTCTGGCCAACGCACTCCGGTAACATCAAGGTGGAAATCCCGCGCAAGCCGGCTGCCGCCTTCGAGACGTTCCGCAAGTTCTATCTGGCTAAGCACACGGGTCGTCAGCTGACGTTGCAGGCGCAGTTGGGCTCTGCCGATCTCAACGCCGTGTTTTACGGGCCCTTCAAATCGGACGACTCGTCGACGGACCTGGCCATCGCGGGCGCGTCGTCGTCGGCGCTGCTGGCGGCCGGTACGCGCAGCCCGCGCCGCCACATCATTCAGGTGTCTACCTTCCAGATGAGTATCCTCATGCTCTTCAACGACCGCGAGCGGCTGACCTACGAGGAGATCCGCAACGAGACCAACATCCCCGACAAGGACCTGCTGCGCGCGCTGCAGTCGCTTGCCGTCGGCAAACCGACGCAGCGCATCCTGGTCAAGCAGCCCAAGACCAAGGAGATCGAGCCGAGCCACGTCTTCAGCGTCAACGACGCCTTCACGTCCAAGCTGCACCGCGTCAAAATTCAGCTGGGCGTGGCCAAGGGCGAGTCAGAGCCGGAGCGGCGCGAGACGCGCAGCAAGGTGGACGAGGACCGCAAATACGAGATCGAAGCGGCCGTGGTGCGCATCATGAAGGCGCGCCGCACGCTGCAGCACAACGTGCTGGTGGCCGAGGTCACTGAGCAGCTCAAGTCGCGCTTCCTGCCGTCGCCGGTCGTCATCAAGAAGCGCATCGAAGGCCTCATCGAGAAGGAGTACCTGGCGCGTACGCAGGAGGACCGCAAAGTGTACACGTACGTGGCTTAGGCGGCGGACGCGCGAGGCTGTGCTGCCGCCGTGGTGCGCGCGTCGTGCAGGTGCCGACGCAGCGGGTCACTGGCGCCATGCGAGCACGGGACGGCCAGAGTGCGGGATGAGGTCGTCCTCCACGGGAGCGAGCGCGAACGAAAGTCAAAATCGCCGCCGCCTACAGCTGATTGTGCTTCTGTGCCCAAATTCGATTGGCGTAAGCTGCACTGGCATGTGCTTCGTTCCGTCGAATTCACGTGTTTTTGGGTTGTGAGGCATTTGACCTTGCGGAACGCCTGCATGTAAATATATTTCGCGTAACATATTATCCGCGGATGAGGAATGGAGTGTGGATAATTGAATAGATGAAATTTATCAGTTCATGTTGTTTTGATACTGGACGCCGTTCATTTTGGGATACGGAATTAACGCCGCTCAAACTATGCCAGACAGTTCGAATGAATGGAATTGCTCTGACAGCACTAGCTCGTGGTCAACGTGTGATGTATCTGTGGAATTCAGTTTATTGTGAAGCGAAACGCATTAAGCGTTGCACGTTTTTGCGAGCCTTGGTTGACGTCACGTACGGCGGCCAGCGAGCGCTGAGGGGGGGGGGGATCGCAAGTGGTCGGAAAACTTCCAGCTCCCCTGCGAAGGTTCCTCTCGGGTTCTGACGCATTACTTTGTGATGCCTACATGACATGCGCACAAATGTTTCAGCGCACTCAATGCCTCGCGCTCTTTCGCCCATTTTCAAAAGCACAAACGACAGGTTTGGATTTCGCCTCTGGAAGACTGGGACGTACTGTCTTCGAAACACGCGCATTGGGGAGAATGACAATGTAGATCCAACCAGCCGGCCGTCCCGCCTGTTTTGACTAGGTCATAAGCATAGGTACTTGGCATCTTGTCTTCCCAGATTGAAATGAGATTAAAAAAACGCATACCACGTCCACATATATTTCAGCGGAATGACAGATCACTGCTACCATGGCATTGGCACAAAATACCAGCGCTAGGTCATAATACGGCACATCGACGAGATAGTGCACAGCTCGAGTTCAGCACCCCACAGTACATCTCGTGGCTCTGTGTGGCCGTGCAACCGAGCAGCCCATACAAGCCGTCGCTCCCCGAACGACCCCGGTCTCCGCCACGCGGGCCCACGTCCAAATACGCGGCAAGAGATTGGTAGCATGAGGCTCGGTCCCCATTTCACATTCCCGCCCCTCACAGGACATGGCGCGGCCAAGCGACTCGGATGAGTGTCAATGACTTATGGAATACGCACATGCGATCACGCTCGGCCACACCTACCTCGGCAACCGCAAAAATCTAAAATGGCAACAGTTTGAGACACGCTCACTGTCGTCAGCGCATTGCATTGGTTGACGGAGGGGGGGGGGGGGGGGGGATCGCGTGTGACGGAACAGGCCAGCACAGCTTGGGTCGCGACGGCCGCCCAGATCTCCGGCACGCAGACGACACCAGGACTCATCACGGCTGACAGGTTGCTGGCAAGGTTCTGAAGTGCACAGGGCCGGTACTCGGGTCGAACCCCCATGGAGGACGGCTAACGCCAGACACTTCGACCTCGGACCGAAACGCTGCCTTGCTATAGCCTAGCTAAGACCTCGAACCGAAACGCTGCCTAGCTATAGCCTAGCTAAGACCTCGACCCGAAACGCTGCCTACCCAAGGCCTAGCTCGACCCGAAACGCTGCCTAGCTAAGGACAGCACGCAACCTCTTCTGCCAGCAACTCCACTTTTTTTGTCCGGGCAAGCAAACGCAAAATCACAGATCACATCTCTGAGACCGATCAAGAACTAAGACGGCCTTTGCCTATCGCCGGCCGACACACGCTCCGCGCGCCGCCAGCGGCGTACTTCTGTCGCTGGTCGGTACATAGCTCGAGGCAACATTCTGCATGCCGGGTGGTTGAAAACTCCCTCGGAATATGGTGGCTTGGCGAAACAACATTGACATGTGACACCATAGCCCAATATAATTGAAAATATAATTTCCCTGGCCCACGTCATACGTTTAACATAGCGCACCGCTACCGTGCTACCGTGGCACCACTCAGCGGCAAGTCTGTAACTCATATGAGGTACGGTCCCCATCAGCCAACGAAGCACCGTGTGGTCTCAAATCGAGTCTCCGCCGTCCGGCTTTCACTGTACGGGCGAAGCGAGCCAGGCGGCAGAGTCTTCGTGATGTCACATACAGTCCATGGCAACCCGTTCAGCCGAATGTAAGAAGTAATCAGATGCCTACGGTGAATTGTGACTTTTAGGTCTTAAGCGCGATGGACTCTGGAAAAATGGCCCTACAATTCATACAACCGAAACAAGCACAATGCGATTCTGCAGCACTGAGGCCCCTGAGCCGTAGCGTCGCGGTGTTCAGCACCATTCATAAATGATTCGCCCTACGCAGCGGGGCGCGAGACCCATGCGCTTGTCCCACGTGCGTCATACGCCACGTCCCAGGGTTAATACCGTTATGCAGGAGTGGGCGCTCCCGATGTCCCAGGAATGGGTACAAGAAGCCTCCATATATGCATTCCCACACCACACCATCAAATATGACTAAAAACCAGTTTGCACGGTCGCTGAGGGCGGTCGAATGTACAGTAAGCATGAACACACCATTCGAGAGCGTGCGCTCAATGACCCCAAACATGCGTTTCATTCCAATGGCCGAAGCAGTCCCCCTCACGACGTTTCTGACTACAGCCATCTCCGTGTCTTTGTCTCAATGGCGTTGCTTCTCTTATAAACTTACTTCGTGATCCCTAGTCCCCCAACCTTTCAGACATCGTCTGCGATTTAGAAATAACGTGTCGCACTTGCGATGAGTGCAGCTCACCTTCAACCACCGTTATCGGTTATATCCCGTCCGCCCACACGCCCGGCCACTATCGATATGTTCGGCTCCACGCCTTGCCCGCAGGCCTCGGTCAATCTCCGCTGGAGTGCACAGCAGCAGACCCGCTGGAGTGCACAGCAGCACACCCGCTGAAGTACACAGCAGCAGACCCGCTGGAGTACACAGCAGCAGACCCGCTGGGGTACACAGCAGCAGGCCCGCTGGAGTACACAGCAGCAGGCCCGCTGGAGTACACAGCAGCAGACCCGCGTGAGTACACGGCAGCAGACCCGCTGGAGTACATGATAGCAGACCCGCTGGAGTGCACGGCAGCAGATCCGCTGGAGTGCACGGCAGCAGATCCGCTAGAGTACACGGCAGCAGATCCGCTGGAATACATGGCAGCAGATCCGCTAGAGTACACGGCAGCAGGCCCGCTGGAGTAGACGGCAGCACACCCGCTGGAGTACACGGCAGCAGGTCCGCTGGAGTACACGGCAGCAGGTCCGCTGGAGTACACGGCAGCAGGTCCGCTGGAGTACACGGCAGCAGGTCCGCTGGAGTACACGGCAGCAGACCCGCTGCGGCTGGACGATGGTGTACGTTACTCGACCAGCACTCGGGGACTTAGTGACTCAGAGTTGGCCCATTCCGTAAACAGGCCTCACGAACCATCAAGGCAATGATGTTGAGCGCACCAGCAAGTAAGAAGAGTTGCAAATTTTCCATGCAGCTTCGAGCTGCCTGTGTTTAATGAAAAAGCTTGCACCCCTTACGCTCTGCCTCGGACCTCAGTTTGCCTCGCCACCGGCTCATGAGTGGCTACATATACAGAGGACAGCTGAAAATCAGTACAGCACCAAACAAGTCTGGCAAGCGCATTCGTCCACAGTGGCGAATCCGTCTAACCTAGCGGACATGCTGTTAAGACCCGGTCACAGACTACATATAGCAAACTGCTCGGAAGGAGGGAAAAATACAAATTCGACCAGAATAGTTATCAGTTATCGCGATGTCTAACTCTGTCACAAGCGTAACATTCGTAATAGAGCCATTTAAACCAGGCCATTCGACAGACTATATACCGAGTGGTAAGTTTAGACGGACATGTCGTTGAAGTTGGATAAAAGGAAGGGCGTGTCGTTTAAAGCTGGGTAATAAGACGGACATGTCTTTAAAGCTGGTGGCAGCTGTTCGATTACAGCCTTGCGGGAATCAGTGACATGACAGGTAAGGCTTATATGCACCCTGCAACAGAGATACGTTATTTTAAGGTAGTCAGTGATGCCTCGTACAATCGTAGCTATTAAATATGAAACGGGACGATGTAATTGCCAGCGCTTCTGCCGCACAGAATGGCGAATGCAGTCCGCGCAAAATTCCCATGCAAACAAATTTAAGGAAAACGCACTTGTCAGTGCTTAGAATGAGACGCATGTTTGGGATCACGAGGCGCTCGGTTTTTGGACCGTGTGCCGAATGCCCCTGGCTCACTCGACCCCTGGCCCGAACCGTGTCTGGCCGGCCCGGCCACCGCGCGCCGCCCGGCCCGGCTACAGGCCGAACCAGTCCTGCAGGTGGTTCACTGTGACGAACACCACACACACGGCCGCCCACAGCAGCACAAACACGATCCAGCCCGTGTGCTGGAACACGCTGCTGTGCTTGTTGCGCACACCCATGCCGATGAGGGTGAGCGTGGTGCGCCGGGAGTAAAGCACCAGCAGCGCCGGCACCACGTACTGAATGCCGGAGCCGGCGTAGCTGCCCGTCACGCCCACCAGCATCTGCAGATCCTGAAACACTGGGCAGCGAAAGACTGTGAAGTGCTGTGGTCGCGCGGATTACCGCTTATAGATACCGTCACACAAGGAGTGCAACACATAGGGCTGAAACGAAAAACAAAGCACAGAGGCAATGCCGCATAACGTGCAACCATTTCAGTCACAGAGGGCTCTGCAGTGTCATATCAGACATTTTGCGATTGGTAGCGAGTTCTTTAAAAAAAGACAATGTATCACCAGCACCGCATTATGGCCCAGCCATTCCACATCGGCACCTGCAGCTCTGGCGTTACGCACCTTCGGTATCGCGAAAACCTTTTCTGCACACAGCACCGCGCAAAGTTAAGATAGCGATTCTAACAAGCCAGCGCAATAATTGAGGCTTTACAAACAGCCAAACATCGTCCGGTGGTGTTAATTACAACCCATACTCTGCAGTACCAGACGTTTTATCCTACCTGAGCGGCGCCATGCAGGGTTCCGTCGACGGGTGACAATTTTGTTCAGTTTACATCCCCCCCTTCAAAAGCGTTCAAAGCTTCCATGCCAGTACTAGTACTGAACGAATTCGCCCCAGCTCGCATCAAAAGTGTGAAAGAGATCCAAGCCAGACATTAAAGGTACGTAACAGATAAAGCTGAAAATTTCGACAGACATAATGTTCTAAGATCACTGCTGCGCACTCATGTACACCAATATTATTGGTGCATATGAGTGAACAGTATTTCCACGCCAACACAACCAATCGATGCCACTCGACTCCCTGGTATTTGGACGGAATTTTTCTACAGGGTTTTCCCTTCCTCTTAACACGATTTTGATACGAGCGGAGCGATTGAAGCCACTGTTTGGGAGTTTTCCATTTGAATGTTTTTTGGGGAGTTATGTATATATATATATATATATATATATATATATATATATATATATATTCTTCTCGTGTTTACGAGATATTCACATATCAATACGAACATTTCCACCGTAAACAACATACATTTGCCGGCCCGGAGCACTTTGTTAGGCGGGCAGGTGATGTATACTACGCTTCCAGATGTGCGTCGCTGATCATCTTGTGTGTAACTAGGGGCCCACTGTTTGATTAATGGCAGACACCTCCGTAAACCCTAACTAATGAAATACATGATCCCGTCGACCTTTCTTAATCGCACTTACATTAAAAGGGAGTATTTCCCATTTGCATGGAGTTTTAAACTGAAACCTGGGATCCACGATACCATAATGATGCCATCCAAATCCATCATTCCATCAGCCATGCGCCGATAAAGGCCAATATAAATGTAATTGTCGAGTCGTTCATATCTGGCGTTTGAGCACGATTTCCATAGGTAACGGCCGTCAACTGGCTCTCAACGCATGTTGTGCAAAGTACGATGACGTAATTAAACAGTGACGCAATGACAAGCGTATTTACTAAACAGAGAAATTGTGATGTCTTGGACAGTCTTTTCCCCTTAAAAACTTACCAATGGTCATGAGTGATCTCATTTCAACATATCGATGCTTGCTTCAGTATCTTCAGATGTGAAACATTCCCTACAAGAGCATGTCTCAAAGTGCGAAATGCAGTGATGTCAGAAACGAGTTGAAAGTTGAAATTAAATTTAATGCCGATAAGAATGCTATCATAAAAAATGTTGAGAATAACACCATGCTGCTAGTACCTATTGGACTATTGGACTAAATTGTAAATCGAGAGCAGGCTAAAATTTATAGGTCCACCGAAATGGACCAGGTGGTGGACGTAGACCACTAACAACGACAACCAATGATGTTGCTTCCCACCCCGCAACCTAAAAATGAAATGCGTGCATACACACAGGCCACTCCTCTTCTCGCTTCCGCGCAGGGCAGGCTTTTGCGTGGGCCGCACACATGCAAAATGATGCACAAATCACAGACAGATGACAAATGGGCTCAAATGCTGGTTGTGTCCAATTGGGCGGGGGGGGGACGATAGTCAATACTTGCGTGATTTTCCTAAACCAGCCCGCATATTCAAGCATGGGGCACAGAAATCGAGCATGCCTCTCGGGATGATGATTTGGCCACCGAACGGTAATTGAAGACTTGCTGAAAGACTGCATATTTTGTACCAACAATGAGATACAAAATGCGTAGTAGTCATTCCGGTAAGTTGTTTACTTGGGACCAGTGGTATATACGTGGGACGGAGCTGCTTCCGCACTTTTCGGCCCCGGCTTTCCCACAGGCACCTTTCGAATTTCCAATTTTCACCCTTTCAAATGACACATCACATAACACCACAACATGAGAGAGAGAGAGAGAGATGAGAGGAGGAGATAGAGAGAGAGAGAGAGAGAGGAGATGAGAGAGGAGAGAGAGCGAGGTGAGAGCGAGATCAGACGAGAGGCGAGAGCAGAGCCGGGAGGAGCGACGGATCGAGGAGAAGCGGAAGAGCGAGAGCGGAAGAGCGCGAGCGAGAGCTGATGGAGCTGAGAGCGATGAGGAGAGCGAGGTGGAGGAAGCGAGAGCGAGAGCGAGAGCGAGAGCGAGGAGCGGAGAGCAGAGAGAGAGAGCGGAAGCGATGAAGCGATAGCGAGAGAGCGAGAGCGAGAGCGAGAGCGGATCGAGCGGAGAGCAGAGAGGCAGAGCGAGAGCTGAGAGCGAGAGCGAAGAGCGAGAGCGAGCGCGAGAGCGAGAGCAGAGAGCGAGAGCGATGGAGAGCGAGAGCGAGACGAGAGCGAGAGCGAGAGCGAGAGCGAGAGCGAGGCGCGATGAGGCGAGAGCGGAGAGCGAGAGCGCGAGCTGAGAGCGAGAGCGAGGAGCGCGAGCGAGAGCGAGAAGCGAGAGCCACGAGAGCAGACGAGCAGAGAGCTGCGAGGCGGAGAGCGAGAGCGAGAAGCGAGAGCGGAGCGAGAGCGGGATGAGACGAGAGCGAGAGCGATGAGCGAGAGCGAGAAGCGAGAGCGAGAGGCCGAGAGCGATGAGCGAGTGAGCGAGAGCGAGGAGAGCGAGGAGCGAGAGCGAGAGCGAGAGCGAGAGCGAGGGGGGGGGTACACAGGCGGTACGCGGCGGCCACCCAGGGTTCTAACCCTGTCACGAGCCGCATTCACGCATGCCCCGCATGCTGGGGCCTGTTACCACAGACGGCCACTTGCCATGATGCTGCAAGTACCAATGGGGATTTCAGAGAACCATTTGTCTAGCAAACTGGGGAAAATAGGCTTGTAATGTGACCACTCGGCTGTGAGGAAATCTACAGGCCATGCACACAAAGTGCTGATCCAAAGGTCATGACATCAATGGAGCCATATGCGAACAATGGTTTTGCAACTTCAAATTACCTAGGGCAACGATAGATGGCGGTAAGAGCGCCAGCACTGGGAAGAGTAGTCGCCGGATGAAGAGGCCGTGCCGCCGGCCCTCCGTCAGGCAAAGCGTTTGCAGGTTGTTCCGCAGCGTGATGGCGATGATAGGGAAGTTGGTGGACAGTGTGAACACCGGAAAGAGGGTGAGGAAGTAGTCCAGCACGCGCTGCAAAGACAAGACGTTTCAGCCGCTTGGACGTGGGAACATACATTACAATCGAAAGTAAGCACACTACAGAATCTGACATCTGCACGCTATGAGCGTCATGAGACAGTTCATCGTGTGAGGCAGCCCACAGCTCTGGTGACTGTCGTGCTCTCGGTATTTATATTTGACATCAGCTTACACTCCGCATACACACGCGGCTATTACGTGTCAATAGTCTGACAGATAAAACATGATGTCAAAAAAGCGGAAAGTGACAAGGGATAAAACAACACATAAATACATGCACGCATAAACAAAACGGGACTACCCTTTCCACAAAAAAGGACCTGGCAGCGCGCTTAAAGCTGACTGAATTCAGTCGTCGAATATCCCCGGGCAACTCATGGATGAAAGACGCCGCTCGGTGTGCAAAGAACCACTGTCCTGCCGCCGCGCGTCAGCGTATGTTCGAAGCAGACAGGCAGACCCTCAGGTTCACCTCGCTCACGATCTTCACACATTCGGCGAGTCGTGGCAAAGTGCAGGTCATCCCGCGCGCGAGACACGTGGTCCTACCTTCGTAGCCCAGTAACTACTCTAGTAGCAAAGATAACTACTTTAAGCAGTCTGGCCTCGTTAACAGCTGGACACTGGCCATACACCGAAATGCAGTATCTCAGCGCCAGATGACTATACCCTGTTCTATGGTCAGCAGCATTCGTCGCGAGAGGAAATATCTCAGGTGGCGGAGACTGATCAGGACGCCAATGCACTTTTTTACTCCCACACTGACGTGCGCGTCCTGTCTCGGGTGGCGGTCAAATAGCACATCCAAGTTATTTATGGTCAGGCTCTCCCGAACGGTCTCACCACCGACCCGTATACTGACAGGGGAAAGTGCGCGAGTGTTCTGTCGGGGGCTAAGGAGAAGAAGTTCGGTTTTGAATGCGCTGAGCTCGGGACCGTGGACATGGAGCCACGATGCTGGGGAGGACAGGGTGGCTTCCATGCGTTGGATGAGTGAAGGAAAGTTGCGTTTAACAATGACATGAGAAATTAGGTGTCATCGGCGTACTGGGTCACATGAGCTCCCGGTGCGTGCACGCTGAGGTCGTTGGCGAAGACTGTGAATAAGAGTACCAAGGGCTGACCTCTGGAACTCTTATGGCATTGAGGAGGAGCTTGAAGACCACTCTATCACCAGAAAAGAGTCGCAGACTGGCTGGAAATGACCAGAAAGATAGGAGAACCAAGCCGGGTCAGTGTTATAGACCTGAAACTTGGAAAGTAGTTGAGCGTGAGGAATGACGTTGAAACATGTATTGAGATCCAAGGGGCACAGGAGTGAAAGCTGATCACGATCCATGTTGGAAAGGTGCGGTTGTTCACGGTGAGCAGAACAGTCTCGGTGGAATAGCGGGAACGGAAACGGAAAGAACGGATAACATGTAATGTATAATATGCAGTTATGCGATGCACAAAATGTAATGGAAAATATGCTCCTGCAGTTTCACAACAGGGTAGAGTCCTATCTTAATCACGGTTCTCTCCAGCGGGGACACCGCCGCTCGGCCGGGGCCCTCTCCAGCGGGGACACCGCCGCTCGGCCGGGGCCCTCTCCAGCGGGGACACCACCGCTCGGTCGGGACCCTCTCCAGCGGGGACACCGCCGCTCGGTCGGGACCCTCTCCAGCGGGGACACCACCGCTCGGTCGGGACCCTCTCCAGCGGGGACACCACCGCTCGGTCGGGACCCTCTCCAGCGGGGACACTACCGCTCGGTCGGGACCCTCTCCAGCGGGGACACCGCCGCCACCAGACTGCCCACCTCGAACCAGCCGGTGTAGTGTCCGTCACAGTCGTCCGGCACGAAGTTCAGCGTATACAGATCATAGATGGAGGGGAAGGCGAAGATGCCGGTAAAGGCCAGCAGCAGGTAGAACCCCAGGATCAGCAGGTAGTCGGCAGCCAGCAGGCCTGCACAAACGGACGCAACATCGAACCGGCAGCTAGGCCAAGCGGCCGAATGGCACGTGGTGTAGTGAAAGTCGCACAGCCTGGCCATGGACGAGATGGCACGACCCTGGCGTAAAAGCAAGGTGTAGACAATGGCAGTGTGGTGAGGCTGACATGGGAAAGAACGAACAGCTAAATTTAATGCGAATAATGGGAGGCGGACGGCGGACAATCAAAATATCTAGAAAATAGTATCACGGACAGCAGTGATTCTACAACCACCTGCGCATTAACGATGGGGGCCGAACACCTGCCAGAGCTTCAAGCTTGTCGTTCATACCCCCCCCCCCCCCCCCCCCCTTGTCTCCCTGGGCAGGACCAACCAGTCGGGCAGCAAAGCAGCCACCTGACAGCCGGCGTTTGTTGGTGATGGGCGTGATGAGCGACGGCAGCGAGTGGTGACACATGAACGAGTAGACGCAAACGCCGAACAGGGTAGGCAGGCCGGCCACGCGCGCCACTGCCGGCCGACCCAGCGGTCGGTCGGCGGCGGCCAGCTTCCGCAGCGCCAGCACCACCATCAGGCCAAACGCTGCCGGCCAAGGTGACACGGTCAGGGGGCGCCAGTGTCAGCCCAGCGACAGAAAGGTAACACGGTCAGGGAACATCAGCGTCGGCCCAGTGACGGAGAAGTGACACGTCAGGGACGCCAGTGTCGGCCCAGCGACAGATAACACGGTCAGGGAACATCAGCGTCGGCCCAGTGACGGAGAAGTGACACGTCAGGGACGCCAGTGTCGGCCCAGCGACAGATAACACGGTCAGGGAACATCAGCGTCGGCCCAGTGACGGAGAAGTGACAAGTCAGGGACGCCAGTGTCGGCCCAGCGACAGATAACACGGTCAGGGAACATCAGCATCGGCCCAGTGACGGAGAAGTGACACGTCAGGGACGCCAGTGTCGGCCCAGTCATGGAGAAGTGACACAGCCAGTGGACGCCGGCGTCGACCCCGTGAGGAAAAAGTGACACAGTTAGTAGACGTTAGTGTCGGCCCAATGACGAAGAAGTGACACAGTTAGTGGAAGCTAGCGTCGGCCCAGTGACGAAGAAGTGACACAGTTAGTGGACGTCAGCATCGGCCCAGTGACGGAGAGGTGACACAGTGGGTGTTAGCGTCGGCCCAGTGACGAAGAAGTGACACAGTCAGGGACGCCAGTGTCGGTCCAGTGACGAAGGTCGCAGGATAACAGCAGACTCAGGGTGACAGCGATGGGCTCCGTAACTAGAATTCATCATATCACATGAAACATGTCTTTTTTGTCAAATTCACTAAAAAATCGTGCTAAGCATCTCGTAATGAAAACGGCCCATCGGGCACGAAGCAGCCCCAGCTCTCAAAGAAAATCTTACCTCCCCATCTCATCAAAGTGGTGAGAATCTGGAGGTACTTGGTCTTCTGCACATTGAAGAACACAAACGAGCCGAGAACAACCACGAACGTACTCTGTAACAACGAAAGTCCGTCACAGCCGCACACAAAACGCCTGACAGTCGGACCTCGCATGATCAAGCGGTGCGTGCCCCTGACACTTGGACCTGACATGACCAGGCGACGGCCTGAGTCACGCGTCTGCGGCGCGTGCCCCTGACACTTGGACCTGACATGACCAGGCGACGGCCTGAGTCACGCGTCTGCGGCGTGTGCCCCTCACACTTGGACCTCACATGACCAGGCGACGGCCTGAGTCACGCGTCTGCGGTGCGTGCCCCTCACACTTGGACCTCACATGACCAGGCGACGGCCTGAGTCACGCGTCTGCGGTGCGTGCCCCCTAACGCGGCCATGACTGGCAGCGCTCAAAGCCACCCGCCGCTCCTGTGTCTGTATCGGGTGAGAGGCCGCACCCACCGGTGACGTCCGCGGACTGGGGAACCCATCGGGCGGAGCGGGCACACCGATGCCGCCGAGACAGTGACACTGACCAGGAATATCCTGTAGGCGTCCCATCTGGTGAGCTCGAGGTCTGCCCAGCATCGCTCGGTCAGCGGGATCGAGGCGTTACACGTGTGGTTCACCGGCACGTACGTGCTGAAAGGGAGCCCGGTCACAGCGGCCGCCAGCATGCATACACGCAGGGGATGGATTATGGCAGCAGGCGCTCGGGTCACTTGCCAGAGCACGTCATCAGACGGCCTTCGTACCGTAACAGACGGATGGCAACACTTCCGTACATCGCCACCAGCTCCACACGTATCATGGTAACCCTGGCGTCCCACCGGAAGCAGCCACCAACCAGCACTGCCGCCCCCCCCCCCCCCCCCCCCCCCCCCGCTGGACCCCACCACTCCGCCTAGCGCCTCACCATCCCACGTCGCGCAGAGACTTGGCCACGGCGGCGGCATAGATGGCCAGGTCGCCGTACAGGTACAGCGCGATCATCACGTAGAAGACGTTGACGCCCCCTGTAAGAGAGAGTACGTCAGGCGCGTCGTAGGCAGCGGCTGCTGTAGTGTTGCGCACAGAGTAGCCAAAGCATCACGCCATACGGTGCGCGGGTATCCAACAGCGTAACCAATGCATCTTAGTGTACGACAGCGCGTAGTTTGTGGATCGGGACAGCGTGAAAACGGACTCATTTAAATATATCAAAATGACAATAGCAAATTAAAACCAATTCCAAGCTCGACATCAACATCAATATCAAAGGTCTGGTTAAGTATTCGGAAAAGCTTGCCGGTCACCGTCGGAGCATCAGCGATATTGAATCTAACGCACGGAGACAGTGCCATGATTGGAGTTCCTAAAACTTGCCGCACATTTTGAGAAGAAGAAAGATGCCATCTTTCCCATCTCCACTGTCTCTGTAATGTTGTAGTACTCATTCAGCGAAACGGGATCTGGAAAACAAGAATATTTAGTGCAGAAATGCAGCAATATTTCTGATTACATGCCCAAGCAAACAATAAGGACAACGGACACATAAATATCAAACACATGATAACACCGAGAACACAGGTATGTCTAATGGACCGCGTTACTAGCAAGGAAAGGACCACCATCAGGGCACGGATCTACTTTCGGCCCAAGAGCGGCAGCAGGCCATCAGCTGTTGACCTGCGGGCGGGTCAGCACTCCAGAGCAGCTCGTGTCGGTCAGCTAACCTGGCTCCAGCAGCCGCAGCTCCTCGCTGGAGGGGCTGGCGTCGCCGACCGAGCCGCGAGGAGAGCTGCCAGAGCTGCTGGCCAGAGCTCCGCCCGGCGTCTCTGCCCTCTGGCGAACAACGGCAGCCGTCGGCCAGCTGCTGGGCCCGGAGCGCGACTACCGCGGTCACGCCGCAGGCAGCTGCTCCTGCGTCCGATGTGAACGCCGGCGCACACATCGACCATGTAGGCACCTCGATGACAGCGCAAACCGTCTTCACCGACTCAATGCGCACGTTTCTAGATAGTCCAACAGGTAAGCAACAAGACAGTGGGCCATCAGTACACCGAAAGATGTACTGATGTACAACGATAGTGGGAACAGCCAAAGCAGCAACGAAATATCTGTGTGAGGATGTCGAGGAATTCGAGGTGGTAAGAAGGTAGTGCGAACAAATCGAATACGCCTGAAACTATGGCATAAAGACTAAGCACAAATACAACGAGCGGCAGTCGCAATGCAGGGCAAAAGGCCACACCCCACTACTGAATCAATGCAGTTGGAGCGATTGCGACACGATGGGATAGATGGACAGAGATTCGCGAGATCTCTGAAACCGTCGTCAACCCTACATGAGCATGGTTTCGGGTGGGACAGAACCGGAGAATCGACAGAGCGGAACAGCATCAAGTGAGACGGTCAGCACCTCAACCACAATTCCTTGCGTGGGCACGGCGGCAGCGGGGCACGGCGCGATAGACAGGATAGGAAATACACCACAGGCCTACCACGCACGGCAGCGCTGGCACCGACCCGCACCCGGGGCGGCTCCGGCCACCCGCCGCCGACGCCCGGACTCAGGATCTGGGGTCGCTCAGGAGGCGGGCCGGCCCGGGGCGGCTCCGGCCACCCGCCGCCGACGCCCGGACTCAGGATCTGGGGTCGCTCAGGAGCCGGGCCGGCCCGGGGCGGCTCCGGCCACCCGCCGCCGACGCCCGGACTCAGGATCTGGGGTCGCTCAGGAGCCGGGCCGGCCCGGGGCGGCTCCGGCCACCCGCCGCCGACGCCCGGACTCAGGATCTGGGGTCGCTCAGGAGGCGGGCCGGCCCGGGGCGGGGTCGTACCTGGGTCAGCTCGGGTCGGGCCGGCACGGTGATGACCCGGCACTGGCCCGGCGGCGGCTCCCGCTCCGCCGTCACACAGTCCAGTTGCTTGCGGGGAACAGGCGGGTGGTGAGTGGGACACCACCTGCGCTTACAGCGGGTGCGGACAGCGCGGGGAGGCGTCCCTACAGGCACCGACCCGAACCTACGTCAGCTCACGCGCTGTCAACCCATGGCGGTCCACATGAGCTCTTTGTACCACGCATTACGCGTCTATTGTTGTGATGTGACAAAGTTGAAGTTGATGTCTATGCTGCCAGCAAGAGAAAGTGCGGAGAATCCAGTTCCATGTCTTAATCCATTGTTTGCAGAGATCCCTACTGACCAACAGTCATACTTTGTGGCCCATAAACGACGTCAAAAGGCTTGATCCCACAGTCCGCTTTCAAAAACGTAACCAATATGGCAGAGGAACATTGACATTTCTGCAGAGGTGGTTTTAGCAAACTGCAGCATAACCTATGGCATGAATGACCCCCAAAAAGTAGGCCATGTGTGTCAGGGGCTCACGGCGAAGATAAAAATTATGGTACCATGCCAGTGTACAGACTGAAACAGTGGCAAAACAATATCATAACAAGGCGAGATGCCGCGACTTGCACTGGTATGTAGTTTATCGATAATCTATATGTGGAATCAGTATCACCAGCTTGGCGTATTAGATACACGTTATTTTACTTATTGCTCGGGCCTTTTAATGATTTTGGGGGCCCCCCACACCATAAATAAAATTGCAATACTATGGGCAAGAAATTGACAGCAGAGCATGCATGAATTGCATGAAATAGTTATCAAGGATCTGCACACTGACCACTCATATATAATAGGTATCACTTCGTATTCAACCACAAATAGAAACAGCAGTGACGTTTTGAGCACTTGACACAACCTCCAATGTAGGACGGAAGCATGCTTAGCAAACATGACAAAAATACAACTACATATATATCAAGTTTAAAGCGTTTTTTAAAGAAAATGAACAAATAGAGACAATGCGCCAGCCCACGTAAACTTCAAGTCAGGATGATTGTAAACTATCAACAGGAGCATGAGCAAGAAGAACACACCAAACCACGTGGAGCATGGAGACATCCGAGTTTGTCCACAGAGGACACGCACAGTGCGCGACTCTACCAGTCTTCGTGCAGCAATTCAGATCACTCACAACGCACACCACTGAGACCATGCTAAACGCGCCGTTGGGCCCTTCCTGGTACCTACAGTAGAATCATGACAGCAATGTACAAACAGGACCGAAGGGTATAGCATACCGTTTGTAACACATCCTTTATATCAGACTTCACTTCATTTTTTAATACATCCCTTACATCAGACTTCTTCTCAGTGAGTCTTCAGTTTCTTCAGTCAACGAGATCTCGTGATCGGTAATAGTTTGTGTGCTGTGTGTTAATAATTGCCCTCATTATGGCGATCCACAGGTAGATTTTTTTCTCGAAAATCGCACTTGTTCAGCTTTCCATCACAGCTAGGAGACCTTGCCTTGAGGCGACACGAAACCTGTGCGGGCGTGTTCCTCGTTCAGTTCTGAGTACAATACCGTATATTTTTACGAGTTTTGAGCATACATTTATGATATATGGCTCCATTGATGTAGCATGCCTGCCCGTCGCGCGTTCCGCGGCATCGTCGGTTGCCGCCCACCTCCCGCGCCGGCCGTAGATCGCCGTGCGGTGTTTATAAAAAAAACTCCGGTGCTCTGAAACCAAAAAAGCTAGGAACACCTTTGTGGTGTCAAAAACATGCGCAATGGATGGCCCCATGGTCCAATGCAAATTTGGGCGCGATTTTACAGCATGCCGGAGAGATGCCTTTAAAAAAACCTTGGGGGACCTGCATCCCCCACCCACGAGGGTTAAACGGATTAACGGATTAGTTAGGTTTATGATCCGTTTAACCGCGAGGGTTAAACGGATCATAAACCTAACTAACCTTTATCAACCCGACGAGGGAAGAACTCATCCAGCTTACATATTTAACTCAACATCCAGCAAAGTAGCGTGATAACGTTGCTGCATTCTAGCTGCTTGTAGCATCCTGGTGGACCAAATGACCGCATCGCGCACCATAGGTCTAAGCCAGGCCGCTACCACATAGCCCTCGCCAATCACCCCATACCGCGAGGAAACGATACCATCTGATGCCCGTCCTGCCGCTGTCAGCTCGTCCAAGAGGACACCCAGGGCTGCGCGAGCCTGGACACTGCCCACGACGACACCGCGCCAAGTGTGCACCGGGGTCGGCCAGACCCACGGGATCTCGTCACTAACAGCCATAGAACGACCGAGCGGGCGTCTAGACATGGCAGCGCGCGCGGGCACATGCACGCCCCCGGTGCTCTAGTGAGCACGGGCCCAGCGGCCAGCCAGCCTCGGCCGTGTGCGCACCGCGTGGGACGCGGAGCGGCCTAGGCTACCGGGCTACCGAGCAGCGACAGCCGAGCGGCTACATACAATAACCTCGAGGGCGACGGCGGCCACCGACGAGGCACTGGCTTCCTGGGGAGCACGGTACGCGTCACGGCCTTGGCCGGGAACAAGGACAGGCTTCGGGACGGTACACGGAGAGCGGCCGAGCGCAGGAGCAGTGGCGCTCCAGCGCAGCACAAGGTATGGCGGAGCGGGACGGTAAACCACAGCGCCCGGCGCCCGGGGGGAGGGCGGGGGGGGGGGGGGGGCGGAGCAAACGGAGAGCGGCCGAGCGCAAGAGCAGTGGCGCTCCAGCGCAGCACAGGGTATGGCGGGCGCCCTCATCCATCACCGACGAGCACAGGTGCCAGGGCCAGCATGCCAAGGTGTGCCGGCTGGTGGTACGACAATGGCCCATACGCCAAGTACAAAGGGAGCTAATACTGTAAGTGCACGCACCGCACTCGGCCCGCGACGGTGCCGTGCCACCAGACGCTAAGGCGTGCGGTTCTGGCGCACCCCAGCCGACAGTGGTGCCCGAGGCCGCCAGCTCCGGCGCCCAGCACGTACCCGCTTCACCCGCCGCTGTCGGCGCCAGTGGATGATGGCATTGGCCGCCGCCATCGCTTCGATCACAAACGTCGCCGTCAGGTAGCTGAAACGCCCGAAGAACACCATGGTACGTCGGTGCGGAACCATGAGGGCTAGGACAATCTTTCTTACTACTGTTTAAAGCTTTATTTGGAACCTTTTGAATGGATGCATTTCTGTGGTCGGAAATCAGACTAAGCAGTGTCTGTTGTGTGAACCATGAACCCTTTCATCCGATCACGCAATTCCATGTCAGCAGCAAAATTATGGACAAAAGTTTAACGTGCCGCAATGCTTGGCACAGTCTGTCCTGCCCTCTGACGCTCCCTAAACCTTTTAGCGCGGTCGCTGCCACCGGCCACAGATCATAACTGTCAGGGGCAAAAAGTAAGCGTCTAAAGCGACTCGAACCCACCCCGCCACGGTTGGGGAAATCGAAAGGCAGGAGCTCTGGTTAACTGAGCTACAGGGACGGACTTCGGATGATGCATGTAAGCATCATGAAAAGTGGTCTCATTTTGAAACACCTTGTCAACTACGACCATCCTGAAAATTGAATACATATGACAATAAGAACTAAGCATTCACTGCACCACCTTCTCTTCTCCCCTTGCTCCCAGCCCCACCCTGCTTACCGTGGCAACAGTGGTGACCCATCCATCACAGGGGCTCTAGGAAGAGTCTCACCTCATGAAGGCCAACATGATGATCAGGCAGAGGCCGAGAGCCCAGCCGGACTCGGCAAACGCCGCCGGCAGCGTCAGCGCGCCCGTGCCCACGATCAGGTTGAACACGTAGATGAGCCCCACCTGAGATGGAGTGGAGTCCGGTGCACAGGGCAGACAAGACAACCACCAGCAATTCAATGTGCTGATGTGCAGTGGCAAAGCTGCACACAAGATGTGTGCAAGCCAAACTAAATGTCAGAATGACAAAATGGCCCTTTTACATGTATTTTTTTTTAGGGTGGTACCTTTGTGGCAGGCAACACAATGATTTCACAATGCATGCATCCAGACTACAGCTATAATGCCAAGGAAATAAACCTGCTACGAAATCTGAAGGCAGAGCAATATGAAGCAATAGAGTAACATGACAAACATCTTAAGCACAAAGTACTTGGTACTTGTACTTGGTACTTGGTACAAAGTACTTGGTACTTCCCAGTACTTGGTGGGAAAACAGCCATTTTTTGTTCCTGTAGCTTACCACTGTAGAATACCCATTTTCGTCAGTATTTGCAGCAGGCATATTTTTTCTGCAGTGTCTAGCACATCAGCTGAAAGCAAAATATGAATGTGAATGTCTCTGGTGATTCCTACTGACCTAAAAATAACCCTTTCCCTCAAGTATGCAGCTTCAATGTATAAATGCTCCATACTTTTTTACCCAGTCTTGATGCCACATTCCACAAGAAGACCTTTTGCTTCAACACTTGTTGTACTTGCACCATATGTTATCCATCTTATCTCATTGTAAAACCTGTTCAGTTTCCTCCCCTCCAAACACCTCCAAAAACATTTCCACCAAAGCTATTAGTGTGTTATATCATACTTGGATCAATGAGAGCCTGCATATATCATAACCTACTTGAATCATAGTGAGCTTATAAATAAGCCAACAAAGTATGCATAGAACCAGGAACATTAAAATGTACAGATGTGTGATATGAAGTGAAAAATCCAGAAGAGTAGCATAAAGGATGATGATCTGGTGATGAAGGAGAAATAAAAGTTGAGGTGAATAATGTAAATGGCAGTGATCTTATTACACAAGCAGTGTAATGCTTAAACTTCTATCTCATGAATGCAACATATGAAAGTAATTTTAGGACACAAGCTGTTTTTATTTAACATTACAAAACACAGTGGTAAAAATGCAAGATTACCATCAGCTGTTTAAGTTACATTTCCCACAAACTGGCTGGGGTGGGGGCTTTGACACTTAAAATCATCAAACATTAAAGTTTGCCTTCCTATCCTACCACCACAAATCTTTTGAAATAATGTAGCCTATCCCATTTGTATTGCATTACTCTATTATCTTGGCTGTGCTCATTTTTCAAGTTCTGTTTGCCAATGACCAATGGTGCCACCAAATTCTGAGCAAGTTCATGGGAAAGGGGCTGAAAGGTTCTCTCTAGTAGTCTCTGGCTGCCTGCCCCCCCCTCCCCTCCCCCCCCCAAGCACAGCAAAATCATGTCATAAGGGACTGGCAGAAGGGTTGCCTATAATGATGTCAATGATGCCAAAAAATAGCTGCTATACTGACATTTAAAATAGCAAGTAAATTATGGGCACCCTTGGTCCAGTCTGCAAAACATATTTCACTGTACCAAATGCCTTTGCAAGATCAACACCCTCAGTCTCTGGCTTATGTGCACCAAACTCAGGCCAGGCCAAATTGGGATGAGTTTTCAAAGTACCTTATATGAAACATTGGTTTTAAATAAGTACTTTTGGTGGAATACTTTCCTCTTTAGCAGCATAACTCCAAGGAAAGTTGCCTTTCTATGCACTGAAATTGGTGGCAACATGGCACCAAGCTCTGGTCTTCTAGATTCACTTGTACATACACCAAAATGTTTGCTACAAGGTAACTGCCGTGCCTGACAAGAACATTGGAGACTACGTTCGACATATGAAAATAAGACAGATAAAAACCAGTATCAAACATCACACACCTACTTCTTTCCCTTGTCATGCTTCACTGTATAAGGTTCACTTAATAGTAAGGGTTGGGTCCTGAGAAAGTTGGTCAAGTAGTTGTCACAAGCACCAATGAGTCTCCACTGTGATACCCTTCTGTGAAAATGCATAATTATACTGATATCATAACCATACAAACCTATCACAGATGATAGAGTATACTTTACACCTATTCTGAAATGGTGGCTAACAGATGACGTTCTTGCCATACCTTATCATGGCCACATTTCATTCAGCACTTCGGTGCGCATGACGGAGAAAATTGCAAACAGCGCGGCAGAGAATGTTCTTACAATTTTATAGCCAGGCACAGGGACCGTTGCTTCCCTAATCCAATATGGACCACAAAACACGGGTACCTGGCACGCACCATCCGTCCAGCCCTCACGAATTCGCGAGGCCGTACGAATTAGCAGCAATTACCCGCGCCAGTTTTAAGAAGAGCCAAATTGCGCAACATTTTATTGATTTTGTTCTTGATGAGCCCAAAATTATATCGGGATTTAAAGTACTCTGGGGTTAATGTGTAGCTATTAAATGTCTATAATTAAATGTCATGAAACTATTTGTGATTTTATTTATATTTCATCGAAAGAGTGAAATTATTTTTATACCAATTTGTAATAATTTTAAAACCCCTGAGGTTCAGTAATTTGCAAGTTTGCCTATAGATGTCTCTAAAGCTAGGACGTGAACGAACGGCAGACGACTGGGCCCGTCGGTTCCGTTCGATGTTGTGTTGTGGTGCATTCGCAGCATTGCGGGGAAGCTTTCAGATTCAGTGCCCACCTTACGGCTGGGTCCGTTTTTTCCGGGTTATGGTGAACTGATAATAACAACTGCTGATTGTTGAGCCGTCCTTGAAGAACTTAAGAGAACTTAAAACGATTGGAACGACTGGAGCCATGTCTTACCGGGACTTACGAAGTGAGTATTGTTACCGCCTCAGGAAAGTAAACTTGTGATTGCGTTAGAACTCCTTGGAACATTTATAAGTGAGGGCAGAGGTGTCGCTCATTGGAATTACAGATAAAGCTATTATGGCTACGGACCTAATCGCCAACAACGTTTGGCAATGCCAACTACTTTCATATTGTTTTACGGCAATCGCACTTTTCGTACCTCGCCACCCCCTGGTATGTTTTGTGGTCGACGTGGCAAAGATGAAAGAAGCGGGACATCATCCACTTTCGTCGGGAAAAAAATTAACCCTTGTTCCACTGAAGGTTTCTCACCTGTGACCCGGCATGGGACTTGGTGCCCCCCCCCCCCCCCCCCCCCCCCCCACCACACAGGGCTTCAAAAATGAAGCGAGGTAGAACCATGGGTGTAGGGGCAAGGGGGAGGGACAAGCAGTGTCATTTGCCTCCCCAACTTTTCAGATTAAGGCTGTGTTTAACGTACTTTTGCACTGCATTAAACATACATGTCGATTTACATAGTTCACCAGCCATCTTCCTCAAGATGCGTCATATTTTTCGTTTGATTATTGGCCATTGCTTAGCATCACAGCCGCGGGACCGACGCCGCGCGGTCTATGGAGACTGCAACACCGGGTGTCGAGGCTGCTGTTGCTATGACGCGAGCGTGCATGCTCAGTACCATATTACGTAGCATTTTTCAGCGATGCATTGCCCTATCTGTCCATTGTTCTCAAAAACTGAATAAGCCACTGGCCGACATTGATGGAAGGAACATGGTAAGAGTGGACTCCTTGACCTGTGAGATGCGTCATTGAGGCTTAAATCATATAACCCCCAGTCGGTCAAATATTATCGCAAGGGTCGAAGACTGACTTAGCGTGACTCTGGATGGTGTATTGCACTTCAAAGTGATACGGATTAGAATGGGAGTCAAAAACAGCACTTTGGGGCACATTGCCTGCGGAGAATAAGGACCATTTTCTAACTATTGGCAGGACCTAAAACTTTTAAAAGTTTTCAAAAACGGTGTAAAGCCAGGTAATCGAAACCCAGCTACGTGCTCAAAACATTTCCGAAAGTTATTCCGGAAAACCCTAAGGAGGCCTCTGCCTTCTCCCCTTGTGTGGCGAGGGTTACTTACGTCCAACCATTTGGCGTTCGATGAACGGAAATGGGTAAAATCGTCATTAGAGGCTTACGAAGCACTCGGTTGCTGAGATCATATGGCGTCGCCTGCCTTCACCCTGGCAGGAAGAGCGGGTTCCGCGGGGAATCGAACCCCGTACCTCTGGTTTTCCAGTCCCGCAGGTTAGTACAGTCAGCTTTGAGATGGGGTATCTTTCAGTGGAGAAATGCTAACCTACGCTCAATTCGGCAACAGCTTGTGTGAGCCCTGTCGCCCTAATTCTGGCACCCATGCGCAGGTCCCAACAGTCATTGCCCAAAAGATCACCGGGAAACACCGATAATCCCAGTGATGGTCGGTGCGATGGCTTCGGACGGTCAAGGATGCCCGAGGCAAGGACTATCGTGATCAGGAACACGGCGGGTTCGACGCGCCGCATAATGCTGCGGCGCGGCCGCTCCGAGCCTGGTTTGACCCCTCCATTTCAGTCGGTCCAGTCGCCTGCTCTTGGTACTCGTACCCATTTCTGCTCGCCGACGAATCCATCATCTTTCTTCTGGACCGCTGAGTTCAAGATCACACTTATGATGCTCTGCATCCACTTTTTCCGAAGCACTGCGGTGTTTCGTGTAACGCACTTCCAAGTTCTACCCAAACATCCCTGTCTTGTTGACAGGTCCATCGCATGAAGGTCCCAGTGGGTGCAATTGTAACGCCATGCGCCAAATGCGTGTGCTCTGATTGATTGGGGAATTGTTTTTTATTCACCTCCATCATGCAATATCCTTTGGGTCTAACGTTAGATTTTGAGAGAACGATGGGCAGCTACTACCCCACCTCCCCCTCATCCTTCCCTCCGCATCAGTCCGCCATCACTGCTGCCGTGCTACGCAAGTATGGTCTGTACCAGTGGAAAACCGCGAGAGAAAAAAAAAACTGCAAAATTCCACTCCGCCTCTTCTCCCGGCACTCTTCCCGCCGCTGGCTGAAGGCGGGACGTTGGAGCAGCGTTGCGAAATAGATGATCGGTTGCAGAACACTTGATTTCCTACTACACTCTCCCTGGCTTTCAAGACACAAGACCCTTCAACAAAAAGTCCCGGTATCGTGGGCCCTGCTTATGTACATGTCCGGACGCCCTCGAACCCGGCTCCTCCTCACGTCTACCCTTCTCATCATCAGCGTCATCTCTTGTCACAGCTCCTGGCCAGATCATCAGCGGCTCGCCATCGTCCCCGTTGGTTGCAGCGTCCTCATCCGACATGTGATAGTGCATGGCGACGGAGCTCTCACATATCTCAGCACACCCTTCGCCTCAGCACACTGATCAGAGACCATACGCGTTCCCTCACCCTTCTCATATATCGGGTCACAGCGCACATGAGGCGGCTAAACCCGAACAGCGCCCCGGAACGATACTTTGATTGAGCTCGCTCTGGCTCACCCGGCACTCCTTGTCCCTGCAGTCCCGGTACGCGCGTTCTGTACCGGCATATCCGATCAGGTGGCGTGGAGTCGGCCGTCTCGTCATCCCGCGGAGCCACGCTATGACGATATACCGCTTCGGCTACGGTACAGCCCTTCCGGGCAGCGATCACCTTAACACTACAGTGGCACCGTTCAATGATGCTGTTCCCTGACGCTACACGCGCACAGCGAAGACGGAGCGGTGGAAAGCAGCGTCCTTATCCACGAACAGTGCACTAGGTGCGCCTCGTTCCCAAAAACTAGGCTCCAGCTGATCACTCACTGCAGCGCTCGTCTGAAGGCTCAACAGACGCCAGATCGAAGAGCGGCTCAGGCACGTGCGAGTATGTGGCGAAATTTACCTTCACAACTCGCCTCTGGAGAGCCATGTTGAAGCCCTTCAACACCGCATCCAGCTCCGGCAGGTTGATGTGGGCCCCGTCATCGGGCCGGCGGAGCCAGCTGCCATCTTCACTCCCCTCTCCGTGCACTTCGATGATCGCACCGAGGACCAGCGAGCTCGCGTGGGTCCAGACAGTCATTGTATCGCCACTCACGTCCCATCGCCCCTTAACCGGGCCGTTGGCCTCCATTCTGGCTACCAGGTCGTCAACCAGCTGCAGCGCGTTCACGTCTTCAACAGGACCGTCCCAGCCGCTTGTCACCCCACTGACCAGCTGTTTGATGGACGAGGCAGCTGGGCGGAGCCAGCCAGACACCGGATGGTGGCTGGTCAGCTGCCCGCAGATGAAGAACACCTTTGGTTTTGTCAAGGGCTTTGTCACGTTCTTGTTCTTATTGTCTCTGCTCCATCTCAGATCCCCAGTCGGCTCCTCTCAGACCCTCAATTCGATGATGCGAGCGCCGTCCCTCACTTCTTTCCGGTTTTCAACGGTTTTCAATCCGAGGACGCGAAGGCCGTCCTTCGCTTGCTCCGGGGTTTTCAATCCGAGGATGCGAGCGCCGTCCTTCGTTCGCTTCGGGGTTTTGCCCTCGAGGCAGTACGCTTGGAAATGCGTGGCCACAGAGGCAGGCAGCGTAGCCTCGTCGACCAGGATGTCATCGACGTAAGTCGAAATAGCTGCCGCGACCCGCGGGTCCCGTGCCACGGATAAGTCCAATACTGTCTGCATGACTGACGGCGCCACATTCAGTCCGAGGCCGAGCCTTGTTAGCGCGAACCTTTTTCCCTTGAACTAGACGGTCTGACATGGCCAGAGAGCCTCCTCCACGTGTATCTGCAAAAACGCCTTCTTCAAGTGCAGCAGTGCCACATCAGCCCCCATGCGTGGCCATCTGCGCCTCCGCTCTGCACGACCGCCCACGTCGGCCGTGAAGGCCGTGGCATAGCGATTCAAGGGTCGAAAATCCAAGACCGCTCACACTCTCGCCCTCTGCATTACCACCATCAACGGTATCGATCACTTGGGTGGACCCAGCTGGCTCTCATCGTATTCACGCAGCCAGCCGTCTCTGATCCAGTTGTCAAGCTCCGCTTCGTATTCGGCGCGCGCCTCCGTCGGCACCGGGTACTCGTCCATTGCGCTGAACAGCTCACGCGGCGGGCTGCCCCCGGCCTACTTCCACGACACTACTTAGCGTTGCTAGGTCGGGTGAAATGCTACGCAGAAGTCCTCTATCGACTCTCAGTTCTCCCTTCTGATGCGGCTCCTCGGGGGCGGCAACAGACGCCGCAGTGACTTCCTCGCAGACAAACCGCACGTCAGAGGGCGAGCGGACGGTCACTCCCTTTAGAGCCCGCATAGCGTCCATTCCCTGCGATCACGCCAAAACCGAGAGGCCTTTCCCTGACCACCAGGGCGCTTACCACCACTGCCCGGCAACCTGGCGCGGCGAGCTGAGTGTCACCAGCGCCCGCACACTCCAGTTGTTGGCCGCTTACAGTCACCACGTGCACTGTGCGCCTCCTCGCCATCGACCGCACACTGACCCGTGCGCCAGAGTTCGCGTGCACCCAGAATCAACGAGCTCTGCACACCGTGCTCCGTCGACGTCTAAGTATCACCAGTAGCGCGCCAGCCAGATGGTTCAGTCCAGAGAAGAGGTCGGCGCAGGTGGGTTTTTAAATTGTGGGTTTAATCCAATTATCTCTCTATGATCTGAACCGTACAAAAGGTCGTTCCCAAAGCCGAGCCAAGGTTGGTTTGCTTGGATCCTGGCTTTCACCGACATATTAAAGCATCCATTTCTTAAGCGAGACATCAGAGCGTAGGGTTCTGACTGAAAGCGGCAGTCGCCCCCTGGTAACTCTACAGTGAGCTGCTCAAGCGTAGGGTTCTGACTGAAAGCGGCAGTCGCCCCCTGGTAACTCTGCAGTGAGCTGCTCAAGCGTAGGGTTCTGACTGAAAGCGGCAGTCGCCCCCTGGTAACTCTGCAGTGAGCTGCTTAAGCGTAGGGTTCGGACTGACAGCGGCGGTCGCCCCCTGGTAACTGCAGTGAGCTGCTTAAGCGTAAGGTTCGGACTGACAGCGGCAGTCGTCCCCTGGTAACTCTACAGTGAGCTGCTTAAGCGTAGGGTTCGGACTGACAGCGGCAGTCGCCCCCAGGTTACTCTGCAGTGAAACCTGAAATACCCCGATTAACGAAGGGAGGTGCTCAATTTTGCAGTATGACGACGAATATTTGTGTTCGTACGCGCTTAACCTGTTCACTAGTAGGATATTTGGCATAAAACACGGAGGCGTGGTAGCTTGCGTCTATTATCTTTAAGCATAGACCCTGGCGTCCAGCGATCTGTAGTGACCCAAGATGGTCTAGACTAACCAAGTCGAGAATCGAACACCGATGCCACAATGACCTATCTCGTAACAACGTCTTCGCAGGCTGGGTTGAGCTGTTAAGCGGGTCAGATTCTAAAGAGCGCGCATTTGCTGTTTCTTTTTGGCGGCTGGATAAAACGAGCAAAAACCGGATAGTCACGCACCAGTGTGAGAAAAACATGTTTTGTTTGAGCTCGTGTGTGAACTTGACGATGCCTTTCGTGCTGTGCATGTGCATATTATGGGCACTGCACTGACCGCATGAGCAATGAGTGTCCGAATCGCCTCTTGGCTGAACGATCCGAATCGGGCGTGTGCTGCCGTTCGTCGTGGTGCAGAGGCGTGTGCGAGGATTTTGTCCGGCAGTCTTGATATTTACGTTTAAGTATGGACAGGGTAGCCATGACTGATGTGAAAGGTTGAGATGACAGCGCAGTGGAAAGCACTAGGCGATCTCTGATAGGTGCTCGTCTTGCTTTCAGGCAAATGATTGCAGCCTGATCGGGTTGGTTGGCTCAGCTAAAGCTTGAAAATGTTTATATACCTGAGCAAAAAGATCGCCATCCCCAACAACATCCAGTTAAGTGTCATATCATGGAACAAGGCCGAGGGATACATTGCATGTGGGGGCGACGACGGCCTCTTGAAAGTGTTGAAGTTGGAGGCCCCGGATGATCAGAAGCTGAAGGGTCTGGCCGCCGCCTCCAACCTGTCCATGAACCAGACGCTGGAGGGCCACTCGGGTCGGATCCAGGTGATCACCTGGAACCAGATCCACCAAAAGCTCACCACCAGTGACCAAGACGGGCTCATCATCGTCTGGATGTTGTACAAGGGCTCCTGGTACGAGGAGATGATCAACAACCGCAATAAGTCGGTGGTCACCGGCATGTCCTGGAACTCGGAGGGCGAGAAGATCTGTATTGTGTACGAGGACGGTGCGGTCATCGTGGGCTCTGTGGACGGTAACCGCATCTGGGGAAAGGAGTTGAAGGGCCAGTCCTTCACCGGCGTCGAGTGGTCACCCGACGGCAACGTTCTTCTCTTCTCCATCGGTAACGGTGACGTCCACCTGTACGACAGCCAGGGCGAGTTCCTCAACAAGATGATCATTCTGTGTCACGGCCAGAACTTCACCGGCAGCGTACGCATCGTCAACCTGCGCTGGTACAACGGCCGCTTCGGCTACATCGAACCCAACTGCCCCGCTTTGTTCACCTGCTACGAAGACGGCAAGTTGCAAATCATGCGCAACGAGTGTGACGACGTGCCGATCATAGTCGATTCGGGTATGGCCGTGACCGACTGTCAGTGGAACCACAACGGCACAATGCTGGCGGTGGCCGGCAACATCAGCGGCGCACAGTCGGGCGAAAAGGACTGCAACGCGGTCATGTTCTTCTCGCCGTTCGGGGACCACATGCGCACGCTGAAGGTGCCAGGCCGCTCACTGGCATCGGCGGCCTGGGAGGGTCGTTCCCTGCGACTGTCTCTGGCGGTGGACTCATTCATCTACTTCGCCAACATCCGACCCGACTACAAGTGGTGCTACTTCCTCAACACCGTAGTCTACACGTACCTTTCGCCCGGCAAGGCCGACTACAACTGCATCTTTTGGGATGTGAAGAATAACGAGAAGTACCACAAGCCGGTGCCGATCGTGCTGGCAATGGCCGCTGCCGATGAACACTGCTGCATTTTGGTCCGGAAGGATGACCAAGACCTCAAGTACGGCATGATGCTGTGCAACGCCATCGGCACGCCGGTCGACTCGCGCTACACGGACGTGGAGCTTCGTTACGTTACGATAACGAAGACGCACGTATTTTCGGCGTCTCGCGAGTCCTTCTTCGTGTGGCACTATCACACGCCCAAGGGCATATCGGCGCGCGACATGGCCTCCACGCAGCCGGACGACCAACGCAAGGAGCGCGTCTACCATGTGGACGATATGATCTCCGGCGTGGAGACGTCGCGCCACTACGAACGCGCAGCCGCCAAGAAGCATACCAATGACCCAATCACGTGTCTGGCCAGCCACGAAACTATGCTGCTGATCGCCCGCGAGTCGGGCGTGGTGCAGGTGTACTTGCTGCCACAGCTCATCTTCAGCAACCGGTACTCGGTGGAATGCCACCCGAGCAAGATCGCTGTCAACTGCGATGCCACGCGCATCTCGCTGATCGACGTCACCGGCGTCCTGTACTTCTTCGACCTGGAGAACCCAGATCCGGAGAAGGGTGGCAAGAAGGGTGGCGAGCTGGTCAAGTTCGAGCGAAAGGATGTGTGGGACTTGGTGTGGGCCAAGGACAACGCCGACATGTGCGCTCTGATGGAGAAGACACGTATGCTAGTGTTCCGCAACTTGGACCCGGAGGAACCAGTGGCCAGCTCGGGCTACCTGTGCAAGTTCGAGGACCTGGAGGTGACAACTGTCCAGCTGGACGAGGTCCTTATAAGGCCCGACCGACCGCATCCGAAGCTGGTAGCCCGGCTCGAGTCCAAGGCGATGCGCGACACCAAGGACATCTTGGAAAACACTGGCCTGAAGGAGGCGCAGGACTTCGTCGAGGAGAACCCGCACCCGCGCCTATGGCGGCTCATCGGCGAGGCGGCCCTGGAGATGATTGAGACAGAGGTGGCCGAGACGGCCTTCGTCCGCTGCAAGGACTACCCGGCCATCCAGTTCGCCAAGCGACTTAACAACATCTCGTCTGAAAATATCAAGCAGGCGGAGGTGCTGGCCTACTTCAACGAGTTCGAGGACAGTGAAAAGGCCTTCCTGGACGCGGACCGACGCGACCTGGCCATCGAGTTGCATCGCAAGATGGGCAACTGGTTCCGTGTCGTGCAGCTGCTAAAGACCGGTGTCGGCGGCGACGACATGCTGATGCATATCGCACTCAACAAGATCGGGGACTTTTATGCCGACAACCTCAAGTGGGACCAAGCGGCCAAGTACTATGAACAGGTGAATCAAAACGAAGATCGTCTGGCCCGGTGCTACTACCTGATGGAGGACTATCAAAAGCTCGAGGAGCTTGTGGAGAACATTGCCGAGAATCACAAGGCCTTGCCGGAGATAGCCAAGATGTTCACATCAGTCGGTCTGTGCGAGCAGGCAGTGAAAGCCTTTCAGAAGTGTCACAAGGACAAAGAGGCTGTGGAGGTGTGTATGTACCTCAACAACTGGCGATACGCCGTCGAGCTGGCACGCACCACCAATATCCAGGACACTGGCTCATACCTGGCCAAGTACGCACAATACCTTCTCTCCAAGAACAAACGTATCCAGGCCATCGAGCTGTTCAGGAAGGCCGGCTACTTCCTAGAGGCGGCCAAGCTACTGTTTCAGCTGACGGACCTAGAGGTGAAGAAGAACTCAAAGCCAATGCGGATCAAGAAGATGTACGTGTTGGCGGCGCTGATGGTGCAACAACACAACGAGAAGATGATGAACACCAAGGCCGCCAAGAGCTTGGGCCAGAAGAGCTCGGTGATGCTCGGTCTGATGGAGGCCGAGAACCAGACGACAATGGGCGACCTGCGCGTGCTGGATAACGCCTGGAAGGGCGCCGAGGCTTACCATTTCTTCCTGCTGGCGCAGCGGCAGCTATACGAAGGCGCCCGGGACGCGGCCATGAAGACGGCGCTCCACCTGCGCGACTATGAGATGATCCTGCCCGTGGCCGACATTTACAGTCTTCTGGCGCTCTCCAGCTGCGCCAACGGCGCCTTCTCCACCACCTCTAAGGCCTTCATCCGGCTGGAGAGCCTGCCGGAGGCAACGCCCGAGGAACGGCAGGCCTATGAGGACCTAGCCATGGAAATTTTCATGAAGTACAGTCCCAAGGACGCCAAGACCAACCGCGCAGAGTGCATCCACTGCGAGACAATGATCCCCGACTGGGTAACGTTGTGCCCCTCCTGCGGCACGCGTTTCCCGTCCTGCATCGCGTCGGGCAAGCCCATCATGGACCCGAACCAGGCGTGGGAGTGTCCCACGTGCAAGCATCAGGCGTTCGAGAGTGAGATCACCGTGCGCCAGACGTGCCCACTGTGTCACGCGCCAGTATACGCCGCCGAGTGAGCGGCCTCGCTCGTCCGGAGCTGGCCGACAGCCCGGCGAGGAGGCTCGCCCTGTGACGGGACACTGCGGGCCGGCCGTCCATTGTGCGCGTATTAGCCTCGGCTCCGTCCGGATGGAAATGTTTGAGACTGGACTTTGAGATGCCGCCCCGCCAGGAAATGCGATGCTAGTTTTGCGTGGAGCACATGCGGTTCATGCGGTCGGTGGCGATGCCTATGTTTACAGTAAAAAATGGTGGGCGCCTTGGCTGCAGCCACTGGATTCAGGAGGTCTGTCTAAAGCTGTTTGAGGATATGGCGTAACACTTAGCGCGGAATATGCTAGCACGAATTTGCCAAGTATGGTATACCCTCCCTTGCCCCGCGATGGGGAATCCACCGCACCTACGTCACTACACAATATGCATTACGTCGCCAATACAGCGGGCAGAACTGATGTTGTCGCCTTTGACACGCCCAAGCCATTGATGGACTCGGGAGATTTTTCCAGCGTCGAGGCATACGTGCCACCGGCGTACGCTGAAAATGACTGAATCACTCCAGATTTGTCGGTTGAGTGCTGCTACAAATAAGACTGTTACCAGTGGGTCGATGCGAACAGGCGTGAAAAAAACAAACATCAGGAGCTGCCCACCGCACGCAACAGCTCTCGCTTTATCAACAAGCCCTTTGACTGCATGTTACCTCTACTCAGAATTCCCACGACCCTGTACGCTGCCCTTACCAACACCGTCGCAGTGCCACCGATACCGTGCGGTCAGCCCGGTCACAGTGCCCTGGTCGTCGCATTGAGGACGCGTCTCCTGAGGGGCCGTGCGACACCCCGGTGGCTGCCGGCGGCGGCGCTAACCGGCCGCGCGGCCCCGACAGATTTCGCCGAGATGATGCGCGCGCTCGGCTACTCGCGCCTCATCTCGCTGGAGAACTTCCGCAGCCCCAACTTCCCGCTGGTGGCCGAAGTGCTTATCTGGCTGGCCAAGCGGTACGAGCCGACGGCCGACCCGCAGACCGAGATCGAGACGGAGCAGGAACGCGTCATGTTCGTGCGCAGTATGGCCCAGTTCATGGTAAGTGTGCCGCCGGCGACCAGTGGCGATAGTGCAGCCGACTCGGGGCTGGACCAGGCTGATGCAGCGGACCCCGGGCTGGACCAGGCTGGTGCAGCGGACTCCGGGCTGGACCGGGCTGGAGCAGCCGACTCTGGGCTGGACCAGGCTGGAGCAGCCGACTCGGGGCTGGACCAGGCTCGTGCAGCCGACACGGGCTCGGGCGGCCGGCTCTGGGCTTGGACCGGGCTCGGGCAGCTGACTCCTGGCTCGGCAGCCGGCTCTGGGTTCCGATCAGGCTCGTGCAGCCGACACGGGCTCGGCAACCGGCTCTGGGCTCGGATCAGGCTCACGCAGCGGACACGGACTCGGACAGCCGGCTTCGGCCTTGGACCGAGCTCGGGCGGCCAACTTCGGGCTTGGGCCGGGCTCGGGCAGCTAACTTCGGGCTCGGATCGGGCTCGCCGCCGACTCCAGGCTGGGCAGCCGGCTCTGGGGTTAGACCGGGCTCGGGCAGCTGACTTCTGGTTAGGTGGGAGTTCATTACCGTCGCGGTGATCGTTCTTCGACTTTATGTCTTTGCCGTGATGGCACTGGTGAACTCTGCTAAAATTTAAAGACGAAATCAGTTTGCTGAGAAAATCTGCGTGTACTTGGCGTTACGGTAACGTCGATCGCTCTTCATAACGCGACGCCGCACCGGTGGCCATTCTCACTACGGCGCCTGATAGCCGGCCTTCAACAGTGGCTATGAAATGCATCCTCGGCTGAAAAGTGTCATGTCGACATAACGCAGTTCAAAGCTGTGCGAAATGCCCTGTGTCCCTGCAAACAGGCCACCACCGCTAACATCAAGCTCAACACCAAGAAGATCTACCAAGCGGATGGTCACGCGGTGAAGGAGCTGCTGAAGATCACCACGCTGCTGTACTCCGCCATGAAGTCCAACTCGGGCGCTGGCGACTACCGGCCCGACGAGACAGCGCTGCCCGTCACCTTCGACATCGGCAGCAGGGTAAGGCGGCCAAGGCCAGTCGCCACTCCGGTAACCGGCAGGCTCTAGATATCCGCGAGAAATGGCTTACACTTTGGGCTATCTTAGATTTTGCTTATGAAGTTGAGATTACGGGGATAGTCGATGTTTTTGATATTCAATGGCATTGCGTCTCTGAATTTATCGCGAAATTTTACAGCCTCCAAATGTTTTTTTTTTTTACTGGTTTGGGGTTTTCTCGGGCCATACCAGGCTGTGCTGATGAGGCTGCTTGTCTGTCCCTGCCCTTGTCCCAAGTGTGCACTTCTGTCGTACCCGCTGTATGTATCGTTGCCGCTGCCGTTGCCAGGCACTGTGCCCGCCTTTCGCTGTACTGGCTGTGCTGGGGTCGATAGTTGCCTGCCGTTGGACGGCCAGCGGCAGCCGCATTCCGGCTGACGCCACAATCAATGGCACGTCAGGTGGCCGGGCCGGGCCGCTCGAACCTCCGTCGGCCGACCGTGCACGGCCGTACTCGCCGCGAGACCGATGTAGACGAGCACAGGGCGCCGCTCGGAGGGAGAGATGCAGACGAGCACAGGGCGCCGCTCAAAGGGAGAGACGCAGACGAGCACAGGGCGCCGCTCGGAGGGAGAGACGCAGACGAACACAGGACGCCGCTCAAAGGGAGAGCCACAGACGAGCACAGGGCGCCGCTCGGAGGGAGAGACACAGACGAGCACGGGGCGCCGCTCGGAGGGAGAGACGCAGACGAGCACGGGGCGCCGCTCGGAGGGAGAGACACAGACGAGCACGGGGCGCCGCCCAGAGGGAGAGACACAGACGAGCACAGGGCGCCGCTCGGAGGGAGAGACGCAGACGAGCACAGGGCGTGGCTCGGAGGGAGAGACACAGACGAGCACGGGGCGCCGCTCGGAGGGAGAGCCACAGACGAGCACAGGGCGCCGCCCAGAGGGAGAGACGCAGACGAGCACAGGGCGCCGCTCGAAGGGAGAGACACAGACGAGCACACGGCGCCGCCCAGAGGGAGAGACGCAGACGAGCACAGGGCGCCGCCCAGAGGGAGAGACACAGACGAGCACAGGGCGCCGCTCGAAGGGAGAGACGCAGACGAGCACAGGGCGCCGCTCGGAGGGAGAGACACAGACGAGCACAGGGTGCCGCTCGGAGGGAGAGACACAGACGAGCACAGGGCGCCGCTCGGAGGGAGAGACACAGACGAGCACGGGGCGCCGCTCGAAGGGAGAGACGCAGACGAGCACAGGGCGCCGCTCGGAGGGAGAGACACAGACGAGCACAGGGCGCCGCTCGGAGGGAGAGACACAGGCGAGCGCGGGGCGCCGCTCGAAGGGAGAGATGCAGACGAGTGCGGGGTGCCGCTCGGAGGAAGAGATGCAGGCGAGTGCGGGGCGCCGCTCGGAGGAAGAGATGCAGGCGAGTGCGGGGCGCCGCTCGAAGGGAGAGATGCAGACGAGTGTGGGGCGCCGCCCGGAGGGAGAGATGCAGACGTGCTCACGGTTCCGCTGGTGTCCGCAGATCCAGGAGCTGAAGCAGACGCGCACGCTGGCTTCTGACATCACCACCAAGGGCGCCACGCTGTTTGACTTGCTGCGGCGCGAGGTTGACCTCCGGGTGAGTGGCACGGGTGTCACTGCTCCAGTGGGGCCACACCCGACATTAGGGTACACATGATACATACCTCGCGCTGACGTACTGCTGCCGTGCCTGACTTCGGGGAAGGTTGCATCCACCGCTGCAGAGAAGTGAACTGCGCACGCCGCCGGGAGAAATTGCACCAGCACGGGGACTGCGACAACTGCAGGCAGTGGCATTGCTGTACAAAATGCTCTGCGCCGCTAGGACATGTGTACTGCCGCTGTTGCCTAGATCGCACCAGGCGGTGGCGCATAGACCTATCGGCCAAGAGGATCTGAGATTGTTCCTGTGTGCATGTATCGCGCATTTGCACAAAATGGTGTAACCTCACAAGTTATCTCACGTAGTGGCATCCGTAACTAATGTTCAGTTAAGTGGAGTTTATTGAAGACTCTCAACGAACTGGGTTGTATTGTTTCTCAACGATGAAGGGCGCTTTGTGTTTGCCTTCCTTGGCCGTCACACAGGATAGCTAAGTTTTAAGTTAAACATGGGAGCGTCGTGTTTGAAACTGACAATACGTCATGCCGGTGGAAAAGAGGATGATGATGACAGGGCTTCCTCACATATTACGGATGAGGTACATAGGGGTGTTAAAGCCCCAGTATATTGATAGTGCTAAAAGACCATTGCCAGGCGATTTCGTGGAGAGGTCATGATCAAGTGATTTGTCAGGGTCGGTCATTGCGTCATTAATGCGCCTGTCTTTGGAAATACGAAATATCCATAACGTAACCACTGCTTCCACGTAACCACTGCGTCAGTGGCCAGACGATCAAACACGGCAAGTTTCAGATCGCCTGGGTAGTTTTTAGAGCACTATTGACCACCTTCCTGGAAACCAGCCTAGGTTTTTCGACACCTTTGCTGCCAATACGTACATTTCGAAAATATGTTCTAGAGCCTGGTGATTTGTGCATATTTTCATGTCAATGTGCCGTGGCAAGACGCGAATCCCAGATGGGAGCGTGCCCTGCTTGCACGCGGGAGACCCGGGATCGATTTTCGGCCGTCGCCCTGGCCTCTGACGAATGCATGGCATTGTGTGGAGACTCCTCATTGATTTCCAACGGCATCGCAGCTGAACGCCCGGTAACCGCAGGCAAGCCCGTGCTCACCTCTCGCAACATGCGGCATTAGGTACATATAACCTAACAGCTGACAGCGGCCCGATTCAAAGCCATTTGGGAAGCAAGAACGCTTGTCAGCGACGAAACGGAAGCAAAAGGGCAAACTATGCATTACAAAAGTCAAATGATGCATGTTTCGCCGCGAGGAAACGTGACCTGGACAATTTCCTTTGCAAGGCAGCTGGTGTGTTCTTTACTTCCGCTTCGCTCCCCATCCACCCAATTGTTCTCCAACTGTTTCCGACTCCATTCGCCGTCAGTCGTCAGTTCCCTTGTTTCACACGGGCTGCGCAGGTGAGGGCATACCCTTTGGTCGCGGTGTGCTCGGCTTCGAAAAGGACGCAACTAGGCAAGATACTACACGACGCGCCGTCCATACAGAATTGTCGAACACAGCGTTTAAATCAGAACGTTGTTTCATTTGTGTTTTGGTATACATCATAGCATAAAAAGTCGTTCGTTAAGATGGCACAGGTATATCGCGGAAAATGTCACTTTCACCGATAGCGTGGTCGAGGAGCCGCATGAGATGAAACGTTACGGATGACTGCAAACGCCAAAATTATTCGCTCTATCTAAAACTTTTTCACTTTAAGTCACCTTTGGCACGGAAACAAACAAAACTTTTGCATCCATGATATAGACAACCCACAGATAGCTGGAACCGCTATAAGAACGACGAAAACGAGTAGTCACCGAGTGACCTGTCTCACTTGACAGCAGAGGTCGCTGTCTCTCATGGGAGCCTGCTGTAGCCTATACGACATTGTCGGCGCGTTATTGAGCGCAGGACGGCGCCGGCGCTGATTTCCAGTTACCTTTCTCAGGAAGTACGTCAGCAGGTGCTCTCCAAAAACATCGAGCTGAATGACGTGGAGTCGAGCGTCGCCAAGGCAAGCGTCTTCATCAAGGACGAGATCGATAAAAATAAAAAGCTCATCTCCAACGTGGCCACCGATGAGGCAAACCTGGACGCCAAAATCGAGAAGAAGAAAACGGACCTGGACCGCAGTCAGAAGCGGCTGGTCACGCTCAAGAAAGTGCGGTACGTGGTCGAGGAACGGGCGGCAGCGTGGGGCCGTCTGGGTTTATCTCTGTCTCGCGGCGCGCTGGTATTTTAGGGTGTGTTTTGAGTACGTTACTGCTTAAATTTGGCACATGGCTGCACACGCTGGCCGGACTGTGCCTCATTCGGTGTTGGCTGAGACTGCTCCTCGCTCTTTGTGGACGATACCGTTCATAATCGAGTGCTGGGTTAGGCAAACCCGCAATGCCCAACTGACGTTGGTCATTGAGTCAGGCCACACCGGCTGGCATATCCGTTTCAGACCGGCGTTCATGGACGAGTTTGAGCGTCTGGAGGAAGAGCTGAAGGTGCTCTACAATGACTATATTGACAAGTTCCGCTGCTTGGCATTCCTGGAGGCCGAGATGGAGGACTACGAGAGAACCGAGGAGGCGCGCATGAAGGAGAGACAGGTATGTGATGTGTCTGCCCAAGGTGTTCATCGATAAACTGCTTCCGAACTTAGCAGACGTGCACCGAAAGTTATCTTAAGTTGACAATGACGTGCTGCTGTATATTCATCCTCTTCTTCACTGGCGGTGCAGTTAGAAGGAAGACGTCTGCAGGTATGGCGCAGTATTGAGCAAGTGCTTCTTTGAAGCGTTCGTATTTCCCGGCATCATGTTGCGTGATTCGTTCGCGACCAGATTTGATCTTTTGAAGCTTGCGAGCTTATGTGCACATTCTTACAGCATTGGAAGGCGTTTATTGATACAGCTTGTGTATTTGTATGCATCTGGGTGAACAATGCGTTTATCCCGTTGGCGTCACGTCCATAGCAGGTGCCTTTTGGCACTGTCTTCCTTCCCGCCTGATACTTTTTTCAAAAACTTTTGTACACAGTGTTCCGTATCTACGAAGCATGCGTAGTTTCTAAAACGACAGAAGGGGTATAAAAATAAGAGTGACCACTATGACCGGGTTTTGCGTTCCAAGGATCACAGTCACCAGAATTCAGTCACGCCTTTTCGCTACAACGTGATGTGAACTCTCTAATCATGCCTCTTCCATGGCTCTAGCCTAAGTTTTCGAGATCTTGGAAGGGGCGGGCTCTGTTGCTTTCTCCCGTAGGACAAAGTTAAAGAGACCGCACGCGAGGCTTTTTGTTTGTGAGATGGGGCCTCAAGCAGAACCACTTTGAAGTCAGTACCGATTTCCGTCAGACCAGCAAATGAAAAGCTGCGCAAAAGCTTCTTCCAGCTGTGAAACAGCATCTGTCCTGCGGAACATGGCATGCACTTGTAATGCCGATGGTGCATGGCATGGATTGTGGCTCTCAGCGGTGTATCGGCCCACACAGCTCCGGCGCGGGCCGTACCGCAAGTTGCGCTGGGTCCGCCCCCCCCCCCCCCCCCCCGTGACCTCCGGCGCGCTCAACCCCAGGCGGCGATGAAGCAGCAGCTGGAGGACATCCAGAAGGCGGACAACTCGGAGCTGGACATCGGGCTGGGCCGCATCGCCAAGACCTCCGAGGACATGATGTTCACCGACAAGGGCGAGGACGGCGAGAAGCCCAAGGGCCGGCCCAACGCGCGCGTTTTCGGCTCTATGCAGGCCGACTTTGACGAGCTTGGCTCCGACACCAGCCTCGACCTCAACGACGGTACGTGGGAGGTGGGCCTGCTGAGCGATAATCAGTATGGTCGCAGTTGTAGCACTAGTGCGGCTTGTCAGCACCGTAGGCTCCGATGAGGGCACACCATTTGGCCGGATGTGAAGTCTCGCTGGTCCAATCACTTTGAAAATCACCCTGCCACCAAAGACCCTCGTTTTGGCTGTACATTGGTGGCCTCTGGTGGCGCGCCGTGAGTCCTTTGTCTCAGCACCTGACGTTACCACTATAGATTGGCGCGTTCATTGGCGATTGGTATTTATCATTGGCGTTTTTGTGTGTCCCCGAGTCCGACGTGTTCAATCTTGTTTCCCCCAGACGACCTCGCGCAGGCCGCCATCTTCAGCGATGAGGAGATGAACTTGGTTCGCGAGAGCAACACTGGTGACGGGGCGCCGCCGCCGCCACCTGACGGCGAGGCGCCACCCGACGGCGGAGCACCTCCAGATGGCGAGGTGCCTCCAGACGGCGAGGCTCCGCCCGAGGGGGAGGCACCGCCCGATGTGGAGGCTGCCGACGGCGAGGCGCCGCCGGACGCACCCGCCGACGACGCCGGGGCCGAAGACGGAAATGCGCCGCCGCCCGCGGACGTCGGGGCCGAGCCGGCGCCCGAGGGGGAACCGGCACCGGAGGGCGATGGTGACGTGGAAGCGGCGCCGGCGGCGCCGGAGGACGACGACTTCTAGTGACGCGCCGTTCGAGCCAGACGGTCGCGCTGCGTCTGTGCAAAGGTCGCGCGCCGGCAGTGGCGGGTGCCACAGGACGACGCACCCGTTGTCTCCCGCGCACTGCGGGGGCTAACGCAGCTGGTGAGCGCCGCCGGCTCTGGTGGCATGCGGCGGACTGTTTTGCATCGCGTGTGGTGTGTGTCGTTGACTGCTCTGCGTCAGGAGGGAGGGAGACGGCACGCGGCACGGCACCAGGTGCGTGTCTGCCCGGATCGCTGACGATGCAACCGGGAGCAGCACTGTGACGTCACTCTGGTCTGCTGCCTCGGAGAGGTTAGTCGGCGGCCTCAGTAAGCCAGTGTCGTCCATTGATGTTTCAAGTGTAGCTTACGACTGTCAGATGCGGGCCCGTGCACCAGAGCTGACAGCCGAGTGACGTGCAGTGCATGTGGGATCCATTTCAGGCGTTTCACCGTTTCTGGCGTTAAGATACTCGCTGGTTGCGTGAAGCGCCGATGTTTGATTCTATGAACCTATTAACCACCGCTGTTGGTCGGACGAAGGTAGGCTCAGAACGCTCCAAGAAACGGGAGCCTCGCATCATCAGCTTGTTACCACTTGTTTTGTCTTATTTCACTGGTTGTCTGTGGATACTGTGTTATCTCATTCTGTGTTATTCAGCCAATATATGCCTATTGGGCAAATTATTACGTGTGTGGTCCGAAATCGGCAACTGCACCAAACAATAAGCATGATTTTGTGGTGCATTGGCATAACCCGAGATGTACAAACCAATACGTCATGTGACAACTTGGGGAGATGGAACATAAGAAGAGCAAGGGTGGCCAGGTAATCATTAGTAGCCAGGGAAGCCCCTTCCCCTTCGCCCACTTAGGGGGGGAATTTTCGTTTTTCATGAGGGGCTGCCGATAGAAAGCTTAAAGTCGGCGTGATGCGTCCGCTCCGAGCTCCAGGCCAGTTCGTTAAGAGCCTGGCTGCCTGGCTGCGCCCCAGAGGAGAGCGGTGATTATAAAAACAAACAAAATTGCATCTTTCGTTAGCTTCCGGATGGAAGAAATGGGGAAGGAAAATCGGAAGCTCTCGGAATCCGATCGGCCAAATCCAGTAATAGTTTTGTCGGGGGGGGGGGGAAGGGGGTGCGGATATTTATCAGCGGGTGACCATTCTTTCCCCGCTGTCTTACCCCTCACCAAAAGTGGCCGCGCGTCTGCCTGTCCCAGGCCGCGTTCGACCTGTCGTCAACACGATTATCAGCTGGAATGTGTGACGTCATGCGTGCTGCCGGTGCGTTCGATGTGTGGGATGACGGGAAAGTTTTTCAGCTTCATTTACCCTTCTTCCTCTACCTTTTACATCAAACCATACACCAACTCTGGCTTACCGCCGACATAGTACGTACAGAGTGATGTTTGGAAGTGTGACTTCTGCTCCTGTATTACCGTCATCTATCACATCCGCATGTTGAGTGCTTCTTCCCATTTCCAATTCATTTCAGTTTCTTCCCTCTCATTTTAGATATTTGACAAGAACGCTGGCATTATCACAACGCTATCAATTTACTAAGCAACGCAACCACACACTACACCAATCACTGTCACATTTTCATGGTTACACTTGGCATTTCAATTCCCTCCCCATCTATCTCACATCGTATTTCCACCAAAATTAGAGAGAAGTACGTCTACCCCTTTAACACATCCCCGAGCGTATTTAGTACAAATTCATACTAAGAGGGGACCGGTATTTAGTACCGATTCGTACTAAGACTGGCGGCACTTAGTACGCAAAGATACCAAGCAGCGCAGCACGGTGACCCAAAGCTCAACAGAGGCTTTTGTCGGGGGCACATCTGATGGGCTACTTGCGCACATTCAGTCATTTGGGGACCCTCCGCACTGGGTCTTGGGAACTTATTTTCTGCATGGGAGGCCCTACGCTCTTATGGGGACCTATCTGATAACCTGCTCGGGCACATTCGATCGTTCGGGGCCCTCTTAATTGGGCCTTAAGCACGTGCTATTTGATTGGGGCCCTTCGCACTCGGCACGGGTCCCTTCTGTTCACCCCTCGGCCGCATTGGATTGCTCGGGGGCCCTGCACATTGGTTCTTGGTGTTAAAACTTAGGGCCCTCTGTTCCTATCGGGATCATCTGGCAACCTGTTCGGGTACACTCCATATTACGGGGACCCTCTGCACCGGGTTTTGGGTACTTCTTATATGAATGGAGGGCGTCACGCTCCTGTCGGGACCCCTTCTGATAGGATCCTTGGCCCTATTCGATCGTGAGGGACCTCTACATCTTGTTTTGGGTACTTCCACTTTGAATGAAGGGCCCTCAGCTCGTTTATGGGGCCCTATCTGTCAACCTGCTCTGGCGCACTCGATTATTTGTGGCCCTCTACATCGTGTCGTGGGTATTTCATATTTTAGCGGAACGCCCTAAATTAGGGCCCTAAATTCAAACACCAAGAACCAATGTGCTCCAGCCGGGGCCCATTTGTTAGCCTGCTCGGGCCCACTCGAATATCCGTGAGCCCTCCAGATTTTGTCTTGGATACTTCCTATCTGAAGGGAGGGCCGTACGCACTTTTCGGGGACCCCATCTCCTCGCCGCTTTGGCCACACTGGATTTTTCGCGGCCCGCAAAGTAATTATATATATATATATATATATATATATATATATATATATATATATATATATATATACATACATATATATATATATATATATATATATATATATATATGCATATGGACGTCACGATGTTTCCTTTGCCATGCGTCTCAACTGTGATGTTGGTTTTATGAAACGCCTATTTTGGCGTCATATTTCGACATCCCTTGAAGCTTTTTTTACATCCATACACCATTCCAAAAAATCATTTTGGAACGCCGCGGCCGCACACGTGGTAACGGGCATGAGGATCGCATGTATCACAACATACTTGGTCGATGGAATGACTTGAAAAAACAAAGTAACTATGACTGAATAAAAAATCACTGAAGCCTCATTTTGAGCGTAATTCAAGAACTGAAGCAGTAATATAGGACTCAGTAAGCAAGCTATTCGTGGATGATTCGTCACGTTTCACGCCAAAGAAGCGCTCGGGGTATTTATTTATGGGCTTATTTATTACTTTGGAAGCACCATATAGACCCAAAACTGTATCCTCCGGTTACCAGCTCATTTTGTACATCACAAGTGCCACCCTCCGGAGAACTTACCCCAAGCCAGTCCATGGAACTTCTGGCCGCCAGTTGGCATTTGGATTGGGCCCCAGTTTGGCAGATCACCCGACGGGACAAAGTGGTCAGATTGATGCAGCCTACGGTGGTTCACCGGAGCGAGTGCGGGCGTATCTCCCATCTCCCTGGCTGAGATATCTTTGAAGAGCGGTTGGGCGTATCAACGCAAGGAGTTCGTAAGGCACCTCAAGCTCCTCGACCGGGGCTCCCGACCCGGAGCTGGCCAGGCACATTCACGCGGCTCCATCTAATGGGAACAGCCAGGTCAATGCACACTGGGGCCTTGTCATCCACCAGAGCTAGACGCTGACGACTGCCAGGTCAGTGCACACTGGGGCCTTGTCATTTACCAGAGCTGGACGCTGACGACTGTCAGGTCAATGCAAACTGGGGCCTTGTCATTCACAAGAGCTAGACGCTGACGACTGCCAGATCAATGCACACTGGGGCCTTGTCATTCACCAGAGCTAGACGCTGACGACTGTCAGTTTCATGATGCGAAGAGCATGCTGCAACATGGCAACTGCAACAACATGCAAGGTGGAATAACACCTTTGCCCAGCAAACACTGGATCTCCATCTTTGCCCAGCAAACACTGGATAAGACACGCTTGATTCTTAAACCAAATGCAGTCTAAAAGCACATTACAATCCACGCTCATAAGCTTTTGGCTATTCATATCAAATGCAACAGATTAATTAACAACGATATTCTTCGCTTGACAACAGGCTTCAGTTATACGAAGCCTGTTGCACGACTGCACGATTGTCGACCGTGCAATGTCATCTCGTTAACGCAGAAGCAGGATCAGATGCACTACAGTGTGTCCATAGTCTCCAACGCCGGCTACAGCACTCGGAGTGTCGCAAAGAATGATGCCAGCATCGAGCTGGGACTTGGAAGCCATGCAACTACGTTGATATCGTGCTGTCTAAAGGCAGGGGATGTTCATGACATCCTGGGTGAATGCATACGTGTTTCGGCTGATAGAGCGTGGTACGATAATATCGGCGACATCCAATCCCTCGCCGACCGTTGGCCAGTCGATGCTGGCTGAGCTGCCAAGTTGAGTGAATGAGTCGCCGCTGGCTGAAGATGCCCTCGTTATGGGAGTGCTGCAGGTCCGAGTATTCCGCACCTGGCGCAGTGGGCGAACGATCGCCGAGGCCAGGTCAGACGGTTGGTTCGGTGCTGGGCATGCGACTTCATCCGCCGAAAGTCAGACCGACTTGCTCGCGTCCTGATAATAGATTCGAGCCTGGGGATGACAAAAGCTTCAACAGTGATAAATGCCCAGTGCGAAATGCTTGGTTGTTTCGGACTCGAACAGCATGCGGCTTTTTCTAATCACCACATTTGTTATTTGTTAAATGCCCAGCACATGCACCAGAGACCTAGCCGAGCCCTTGCCTTTCAATATAGACTCGTCCGGCCACACTTTTTATTTTAGAACTGAACTGGCATCAGGGGCGGATCCAAACGGGGGGCACGGCGCCGTGCCCCCCCCCCCCCCTCTCCTGGGCCCCGTAGGGGCCCATTGGCTCCGAACGGCCCATAGCCGACAGAACAGGTGCAGCTTTTTTGGCACAAAACGTAACAAAACTGGGTGTCTGGACTTGCAGGCGACCAAGAAGAGTTCTAAACGAAAGTGAAGTACCTATGACGAGTCAAAAAATCGTTCCATGATTGGAAAAGTTGTGAACTGGAATTTTAAGCCTCATTACACTGTCTAGGGGCCCATGATGCC